ATGCCAGTAAAATGGGATCAATAGCATAGGGAAAAACGGACCAGACAATCTCTTACCCCCTTGAACTTCTGTACCCATGATTGATTTGTCCCCTGCCACAGCAGAGGAGACATTAGAGACAAGAAACATGTGTGTGACCACACATGTGTGCGCCTGTGCACCTGTGTACGTGTGTTGAAAGCGTGTTTTTTTTTTTCTTGTTTTTTTTTTTTTTTTCTTTTTGTTGAAAAGCTCAGCGTTTGCCTGTGTGTATGTGCATGTGTGTGCTCAGTGATTGATGATGTGGAGCACACACACATCATCAGCAAGGCATTTGCGAGGTGTGTGAGTCAGGAGCTGTCATCCCCCTCAGTCTCCCCAAGCAGAGGCCTCGGCTGCTGATTTATAGTAAATCATTAAAATCTGCTTATTATTGCAGCAGCTCATCACCCTCCCCCTCCCTCAGTCCCCATAACCAGCCCCCACCCCAGTCAAAACTTGCCACACCACTGCAGAGACACACTGAGATAAGACTATGCACGCAGAGTGATGGTCAGCAGGTTCTGGCACATTAAATCCATTTCTGACGCATGTTTGAAAATAAATATCCCAGATGTCTTGTTTCATAAACATCGACTGAGGGAGCCAATGAAAGAATCTGGCTGTGTTCCTGTACAGCAGCTGGAGCCGAGTGGACGGATCTATCCACTACAAAAAAAAAAACAAAAAGACAGATGAAGAAACTCTTTATGGGTGCTCATGCTCACATGTGCATAAACACACAAAATACACACACACACACACATACACAGCTCAACTGTCTTATGTCTCCAAAAGTGAAAATGTGATGTGACTTGAACAGTGACAGGTGTGTTTGTCAAGGATGTGGCTGTCACTTCAAATCAGTGGACGGGAGCATCATCCTTGGGAGACTTCTTCCACTTCTTAGGGTTCGAACTGCTATGCTGCGCTTCAGTGCAAGTTGGAGAAGACCGAGTTGTCAAAGTGGCATTCAGGGAGCCCTGCTAATGCACGATCAAACAGAATTTATGAAGATAAAGATTTCTTAATTTGTTTTTTTCAGGAAATTGTTTCAAGTAGCCATTATTTAGTGACTCGTGTTGTGGAAAAGGTCCTCGCTATCAGTGTCTGTCAATCTAGGGATCATTAGTGTGGACAAATCTGAATATCCCCATTTCAGAGATGTACTACTCAAGCAACTTGTGCAGGGGCACAGAGTAAAATGATGATAATCATTTCCACTGAATAACTCAAATGAGACTCACAGCTTGTCTCCTGTCGCTTTGCGGTGCATGGTTTGTCAAATGCGTTTCAATTACAGCCTTTAACTTGAGGCAGTATCGCACCACCATGAAGTGATTTTAATGGAGTTTGGTGCAATTGTTTGTTATGCGAGACAGGTCTTTTCAGTTGAAAGTATGGAGAAATGCAAAGGGGAGGGGGCCCTGAGATTCAAATGTACTTTGGTTGGTTACATGATATGAGTGGTTAAGCAGCGGAGAAACGGAGAACTCAAAAGTCAGATCCTGTCACTTGTATTTAGCTGAACACATGTAATGTTTTGGGGGGGGGTTGTCTCTGTTGCATGTATGTCTACTACTCAAAATATCCGACAAAATTGTTGTCTCCATCAGCACGTCATGTCCTACTTTCCCCTCCCTCCCTGACACATACAGTATAACAGCTTCCTCTCCGTTCTGTCTCTAAAGCTCCTGCATGCTTGGAGCACAGGTGCAGGACTGCAGGGCTGCAGCCCACAGGCCGGGATGAGTCGACTCACATGCACAATCACAACACCTCCATTTCTCACACTGGCATAATCCCCGTGTTTTATTTGTCTCCTTGTAATTCTTTTTATATCTTGGGCTTATGTTCTTTGGCATTTATTCAATCCCAGCCTCGGGACACAGGGCTCTACCGGGCCCATATGTGTGCCTTGCTCCACTTAACGCATATTAGTTCCTTTGTAACTGTGACTAAACTGGCACGTCTCATCTGGGAGATGTGCCGGCTTTGACTGACAGTCCATGTCTGGATCCTGTACTTTAAGTCTCACACAGATCTGTCAAACACGGGCTTTGTCAAACCATCCTTCAGTCTGCTGTCAGGCACAGGAACCGTGGAAAGATGCGGAGGGTTCGCCGCTGTGAACACGTGTACGGATTACCCTGAAACTCTCCCTCTTCTCTGTCCTCTTTAGTTCATTTTTACCAAAAAGAAACGCCAAAAAACAATCAAAAACCTCTTTGTGGCATGTCCCTTTATTCCCTTTATAGAAAAAAACCCTTGGGGAAAAACTAAGTGAAACATTTCTCAAGCTTGCATGTTGGCAAAATTGCCTGAGTGGAAAAAAAAACTTGTACACCCAAATCAGATCAGTCACTAAAATTACATCTAGAGAGCTTTTTCAATAACAGCTTGATATTAGGACTTCAGCCTGGTGCTGATGTATTTTATCGGCAAAGAAAATCTGTTATGTCTGTGCCATGTGATGCCAACAGTCTTAAATATTGTTTTCACAACTGTGCAAGCTAATTACCTTTAATTTTTCATCTGTGCTCCGAGGGTTGTAAGAGACTGTGATTAGTGATTCATTACTTCTCATTACCTGGCCTGTCAAACTGTTTCCTTTACTTATTCAAGCTGATTAGCTGTACATGGCCTGCCTCTCTCAATGCGGCTGAAAGAGAGACTTCAAACATGATCTGCAGATAAGCAATGAGTCGTAGTGATGAGAAGGATCATAATGATGAGGTGAGCGAGAAAAAACAAAGGAAAAAGGGTATGTGGATGGTCTTAAAATGAACAATGGATGGGAAAAACATTCAGCTAAACACTTCAAAATTACTCATAACTGTACGAAGGTCTTCAGCTAAAACGTATTATGAGAAGTTATGTCCAGAAAATATTAAAAGTCATTTACAGGTGTCAGAGAATGAGGATTGATTTACTGCCGGCAAACAGTTACTCCCCACGAAATGTCAAGGTGAGCCAAAGCTCAGGGGGATAAAAACACAACGGTTGGGTCTTATCTACATATCACAGGTCCATCAAACCAACAGAGCCTGGAAACATGCAAAATGCCGCTCAACAAAAAACGATGGAACAATGAGCCCTTGAGTTCAAGTGTAAAACAACGCTGGAAGCAATGAGAGGAAAAAAAGATGAGTCCTCACAAAGCGCAAAAAGCCTGAGTATGACATTGACACTGGCGGTGAGACCTTAACTAAAGCATTCATCACCATTATCGGTAATTAACAAACTTCCCCAGCATTAATTAAAGGGTCCTCCTTTAAGGGGAGCTTAATTAGGGGGTTTGACAGGATGAGGCTTTAGGGATAACCATATCTAGGGAGCTGTATGAGGGCCACAAGTTAGAGAAATTCTAGAAACCTGAGCTTTCCCAATCTTGCCATAAAACTCTGTGCCCTTGGTCATCTCAGGACTGGTCTACGCTGATCTGGTTTTGCATGGCTCTAAAACTGTATTGACAGGTATGACAGGTGTCCGATTAGCCAGTCAGCTGGAGGCTCAGACCTTGTCACCTGTCAGGTGGAGAGATGAAGGGTGAATGAGCAGAGGAGGGGGGGGTGGTGGCACGGAGAGAAACTTGAGCGAAAAGAAGAATAGAGGAAAAACAAAATTGGCGGCTAACTGGGAACGTCCAAAACCAAGAGACAGCCATAAAAACAACATGCATATCGGGTCTGAGTCACCTGCAGAAGTGTTTGTGAAGCACTCCATTACGAAAACCAGAGGGTTTGAGGATGACAAATGTGTATCCAAAGAATCTGTGATTGGATCGGGGATTAAGGGGCTGCTGTGTCCCTGATGGGAAGCAGACAGGGAGACAGACAGACTGAGAGAGGAAGAAAGAGTCGGAGATGGAAGGGGAAAGAAGGGTGGAAGGAGGACAGCAAACGAATGTCAGGCTGCCCGGGCAGGAAAACAGAGTGGCAGAGTGGGTGGGCTTTGACAGACACATCTCACACAGGCTGACAGCTCCGTCAATAGCCCCAGGATGGCCACCCTGATTGACAGCTAGCAGGTGGCGCATGAATGGAGTTGTCAGGCGGACTGTCAGTCAAAGTCACATCGCTGTGGCTACAAGGGCTCGGCTGAGCAGGCACACAGCTGCCCAAGGTGATCTTTGGGTATACGGGCAGGCTATTGGCACGGGAGGCTGAGACAGCTCGGATCATGCTAAAATTATCATACATGACATAAAGCAGCATACAATAGCAGTGTTTATTTGGCCTGTGCTATACTAGAGGGTACATTAGCTACAGACACACATGGGCGGGTCCGCTTTCAAAAAAAGCTGAGAAAAAAAGAATCATCTGAATGTACTATCAATGAATCTCCGCAGTTTTTCCATTTCCTTGGTTCCCCTTAATTGAGCATTGTTCCAGCACGAGGGCATGAAGCATAGGAGTTAATGGGCAATAATTATATGTGAGAGAGGCTTTCTCCCTGGAGTGGAATCCAGAACAAATGGAAGCTCCGATGTGCAACATTCTACTTCATTACATCTGCTGCGATTAAAGGCCGAACATCTGGCACCACATCCTGACAGATAGACAAGTCTTCTGGACTGGAAGGGAAATCAAGCAATATTTACAACAAAAAAAAAGGAAGGCAAAGTATCTACTATGTGAAATAACAAGTGCTTTTGGGCAGGCTCGCTACACTTTCCCTCATAGACAAACGCCAACCTGATAGATTCTTGTAAAAAAGAAAAAGTAAATCATTAAGACACTTGAGAAGAAAAATGACACTAAGTCCCTTTGCTTCACTTTCACATCACAATGGACTTTATTATTATAGGCAGCTTCTTTTGCTACAGATAAATACATACTGTGGCTCTTCAAGTAAACACTGGAATGTACATCAATGTTGGTTCTTAACATCTTTTTAAACAATCTCAATCATCTTACCCCTTCAAGGTGATGCTAAAACAATAATCATAACTGTCTGTATCTGCAGTTACTATGACAACATCAAGTCCCACACAGCGATGTCACACTGATTTGGTCTCTCCCTGACATATGGTTGTCTCCCGTGACACTCAGTGGCAATCTGGAGGGCACCTGGGGTGCGTGTGACCGTCGGAGGCGGCGGTCAGGGTAGAGACTGTTGTCGAAGGGCTTGCGGTGGACACAGAGGACGTGAGTCTTCAGGTTACCCTTCTGAGAGGCACTGTAAGGACAGTACCTGCACTGGAACGGCTTCCGAGCTGGAAAATAGAAAACGGGGAAAAAAAAAATAACACAGTAGACTTTGTACTGATACTGATACACTCTCATACATGGGCATCAAGGACCAGACCACTAAAACTCTGTAAATTAATCAATGACAATAAGAGTCGATCAAGAAAAAAAGTCAGTTTGACACAGTGCTCACAGGTCTGTTATCAAAAAAAGCATAAATGGTGGTTTCTTTTTCTTTGTTTTTTTTAAAGTGACCAGTCAGCTCAGAACTCTGAGGAACTAGAAATAAATTGTGACATTACAAACTAACACGTCGCATCAGAGTACAGCAGAAGACCCACAACTACAGGCCTTTGCTCCTATTTCCACCTCATATCAGGTTTTTTTTTAATGTTACATTATATCTGAATATCTAAGAGGTACTTTTAGGGTTTTCTCCTTTTCCCCCAATATCTTTTTGCATATCTCCTTCAAGAACAGTTTTTAAGAGAACTGAACACGTTATTTGTTGAGTAGCTTGTTTCACATTTACATTCGTGCATTTAGGAAGTGCTTTAACCCAAAACGACTTAACGTAATTTTCCCCAAGACAGTAACACCGCCACAAAACAGAGCTCCATAGCGTGTGGCCAGTTGCTGGATGTGTGGAGTAGATGCCTCGCACTGCAATTTGTGACCAATTAGCAACGCAAGTAGTTGTAACAGACTGGGCCTCTCTTAAAAAAAGAAAAAAAGAAAAAAAAAAAGGAGGGGGGGCTTTAAAGCTTTAAAGCTTATAGCCGCTTGACCTCCCAAACCATGCTGCATGTCACTATAATACCTGCTCCATTAGGTGCTTGGTTGTTGTTGTTGTGCACCCACTAAATTTTGAACACCTCTCTTTTAGCACAGCGGCGTATTTTTCTGCATTTCCAGACAACAATGACAGGCAGTCCAGCACTCAGAACGCGCTGCAATGACCACACGTGGTGTTTTGCTGAAGTCACATACAGTTGGTGAGCGAACTGATGCAACAGACAGGCAAAAACAATGCCTGAGAGACTCAGGGGGGGATGCAACAACGTGAAACATGAAAAAAAAAAAGTCTAATACGCTAAGTTTAAAGCTTGTGGACGAATGGAAAGACAAAATTGACAAAGAGTGAAAAATTATTTTCATCATCATCAGGAAAGTTGGACTTTTCTTTTCCAGCTCAAGATGGTTATGCGAAATGTGGCCAAAGACAAAAATGGGGAAGTGAGAATGCTTCAAAGCTGTCAGTGACGGCAATTAAATGGCTTTCTCCTGTGGGGATGTTCACACGCGATTGGAATTTAGGTAAAAGTATTTCTTTTAGTAGCGGGTGGCACAGCTTCTGAAGAATCAGGAAGAATACACGCCATTTCTAACATTAGTGCTCACAAACTCGAGTTAAGATTGTATACTGCAAAACGGAAGTATTTTTTTCATCTTGATAATCACTTATGGTTCAGTACAAAAACAAACTTCACTGGGTGACAGGGTTTTATACATAAAAAAGCCACCAGGTTCTTGCTCAATATAGCATATTTCCTGCCCCGAACACAAATACACACTGTCAGACACACACAGACAGACATAGACACAGATAAATAAACACACACGCAAGTGCTGAGTTGAGGAATGACAGACGTCTGCAGCTGGGAGGGAATGCATGCCAAAACTTCCTGTCTGTCCACCTCTTTAGTGCCCGCTACAACGTTCCACCGCAAATAAAGTCAACCAGCATGACACAGCACACCCTGTACCCTTAAGATACAAACAACAAGGCACACTGTTAATAGTTTCAAGAAGCTAATCTGACCTAAATAGAAATCAGTGTGACACCGACGCCCGGAGGTGCAGCCTAGATCAAAATGAAAACTCAGCTGGCTGACTCATTTACCTCTACACCTAGACACCCATGTGTCCTTGTTCGCCGCTGTGCTATTTCTGAGATGTTACCTCATATAATGACTTTCTCCTTTTTCTTTTCTGTCTAAGACTTCGGTGTGTTTTTCTGTGATTCATGGTTACAGTAAACCATTATGTGCTGATGTCATCTGACATCACTTCCCAAAATCTGAGGGCTGTCTCAGCCCTTTCACCCCACCCCTCGCCTCTTCCTCTCTATCATGCTCCTCATCAGAGCCGAGACAGCTGTACGGAGCTGAACACTCACTTTCACATCTACATAAAAAAGGTGTTTTTGGGGGGAAAAGTGGGAAAACACACAGAAGGTGTGAGCAATAAAAGGTAATGCTCCATCTGTTGGTGTATAATAACCTGATGGCCATAAAGGACACACATACACATACACGTTCACACACTAGTCAAAGAGAAGATGAGGCCTGACACATTTGAATATCATCAGGATGGCACAGAGGGGGTTTGTGTGTGTGTGTGTACGAGAGAGTGGGAGTTGTCAGGAACAATAGTGAAAGACAAGCTTTGTCAAAACCCAGGTAGAGGACAGTTAGTGGCGCATGCTAAACTCCACCTGTCTCATGTCAACTTTTTTAAGCTTCGATAAGTAGAAGAGGAAAAACAAAAAAGGGGACGGATACCAAACTCTGCATTTCTGATACTGTCCAATGCTTTGTTTGAAAACCCCTTACTAAAACTGCACGTATCCCTTGAAACCTGATCAACTGGACAGACATTCCTCCCTTTTTTGAATGCACAAAGACAATGGAAACGACTCTTTAGCCTCTCATAAAGTCAGTTAATAATAAGCCAGGAGGTCTTATGTCTACATTAGTTGCTTGTTGCCCTGCTTGCCTCCCCCTTTCTGCCTCTATTGCCTTACTTTCTGTCCCACCTCATCTCCCTGAGAGTGCTGTTCTTTCCTTCCTCCCACCAGAGGAGAGGGGAGGTCCAAGAGAGGGCAACCTCCAAATAAGTTCCATTAATCACAGACCAGAGTCTAATGCAACTAATATTTTACAATTAGAGGAGACAGCAGTGGGCTCAGAGCCATCCATCTCTTCACCACATGATCCCCCATTCACAGGCTGCTCAAGCCGCAGCTTCGAACCATTCTCTTTAACACAGATGAACACGCACACATAAAAGTACATGCATGTGTTCCGATGCACTTACACTTTAGTGATGGCTAAAAGAGCAGGGATCTGCTAACCGTGGAAAAGGAAAAGAGCAATGTCCTATTTAGACCTTGTGCAATATTGTTTTTCATGTCAGGCTGATACATTAGGTGTGTAACAGCAAACGCCATCTGAGCTGCTTTTTTCTGTGTTGTCTGTTCATTGCGGCACAAATTAACAATGACAAAATAACTATTTGGGTATTCCTGCGAAGCATTAGGCAGTAATGGTTAATCTCTAATTGGCTGCAAGAACAGCCAAAAATGCGCATCAATAACGAGAAAATTCCCTCTGTATGTTCTCAGTGTTACGGATACAATACTGAGATTTCTGTTAAAGAATAGCAGTTTTAGCCTGAGTGTTTACATATCCTTTGTTTTTTTCTTAAGGATTGCGCAAAAAAAGTATTGACTGTTTTGCATAAAAATTTAACAGGAGGCCCAATTTAAAGTACATTGGTGTTATTTTCTGTCCATAATTGTATGCTTGTTTCATAGTTTTAAGCATCCTTTCTGTCACTTTAGTGCAGGGAAAACAATGTAGTCATCGAAACATTCTGACCACATAAATCTGAATCACTTCATTTAACAAAAATATGAGCAAACCTACAAGAAAAGCATGCACACCAGCAAGAATTAGGAGAAAGCAGAGCCAGACAGTTCAGCTGTGATGCATGTTAACCATGAATGATGTGTTTAATTCTGTGACACATCATGTGTCTGTTTCTAATGAACTGATCGGGCTGAAAACAGTCCTTTTTGGGAAAAACCAATGTTTCCACATCATCCCTTTAACATACAAAGGCTCTCGTGAATTACTGAGAATCACTGTCCTTTTGTAATTTCTGTTCCACTCAACCCAGAAATCTGAAAACCGTAAAATATCAGTGCACATTGTTCTTAAAAAAGGGAGGAAATAACATCCACTGTGTGCTGTGGTGCAACACGTGTGGTAGCTTTACAAGAAAAGGAGAAAAAGGAGCAGTGTTAAAGCCTTACTCTATGTCTTATTTATGAAAGAGGAAAAAACTATTTCCTGTTCTTCCACAAGCCTTTTCAAGGTGGCTGAAAACTCCAAATTATTTGGTAATCTCCAAAAGACTCTTATCGCCATCAAACTTTCACATTCAAACTACATGTTCTTTTTGTATCTTTTTAGTCCCGGGCAAGCACATCTGAATCACTCCTCACACAAATAACTAACACCATGACATTTTTTAGGATCTTTTTCTTTTTTTCTGTGTCAAATTAATAAATAAAAAAAAGTTTTTTTTGCTAAATATGAACACAGGGACATCTGAAAGTTTCCCTGGACAGCTTGCCGGCCTTTCCTACATATTTGTGTGAGGATGTGTAAATGTATAAGTTTACACCTGCACGCATGCGTTGGTGTGTTTTGGGGCGTGTGTGGGTCCGGTGAGTGTGTTGTGTGTCACGGGCCGAGATAATGACCATGATGACAGTGGCGGGGCTGACGGGGGCCAGAGGAGCTGAATGGTGACGGATGACACAGGGCTGAGCTCTGATGGCACACAGACAGTGAGTGATGACTGCACATCCTTCCCAGTGCTCCACCCTTCATTATCTCTATGGGGAGAGCCGCCGCACAAAGGCAGGCCGCGCTGCCCTCTCGCTGCCCTCAAAACGACATCTGCTCATGGAGACAACCGCACTACCGCTCCTCTTTCACCTCGCTGTCGCTCCATCTATCTCCATCTATGGTGATCTTTCTCGCTCCTTTTCTCTTTCCTTTTCTCTCACTCTCTGTCACCCTCTCCACGGAGGGTATACAGAGGTCAGACAATGAGATAATGACTCACCCTTTTCAACCTTTCAAATCAGGGCCTTTTTCTTTTCTCTGTGTCCTCCATGTTCTTTCATTCTTAATCCTTTCTTTATTGATCTTCTCATATTCGCTTGTTCTCATGGACCTGAGTCGCCTAATCTGGTGCCAAAGAGGCCACCAATTTTGTTAACCGGTCAAGTTTGCAGGGTTTGAATCTTTGTTTGAACCTCATTGCATGGCAGCACCATCGACAAGTTGTCCGACTTGTGTCTGTAAAATATTTATGGATCCTTGGGCGGTGGGACCCTTTCAAACTGCACCGCATTGTGACTCTCGATTGCGTTCGTGTGGTGCATGGCGCCATCTAGTGGGCAAATCTAAGCAGTGCGGCGTGGAGGGAGTGTTGAAGTCACAGGGGAGGGCTCTGTGAGACTAATGAGCATGCAGACAGGTTCAACCAGAGGTCACCATCTGGCCAATTACCACTGCTGGCACATTGGAGCCGACCTGAACTGTCATCACAAACACATCACTCCATGTCCAAACTGCCCAGCAATATGTCACCATGCCACTCAATGTGCCGTACAGTATGGAGAGGACGGGGGCAACAGGAGACAGCCCCGTGACAAAGCCACCTGGTCATCACCGCAGACAGGACAGACTGCCGGGCCACCTGGTTAGCCGCCTTTTAGAGGACACTTAGTGAACTCTCAATGTCAGTTACCCGTCTCGCCGTCCAATTTGACTGACAGGTGTTTATTGCCTGTTTGTTTCTTCTCCTTAGGGAAGGGGAAAAAAATATGGAGGATCAATCAGCATCGAGCACAAGGCAGGGCGTGCTCAAAATAACTTCTAATATTGATCAGACTGCTGAAAAACACCAGCAGCAACTCCAGCAGAATACTCTGTATGGAAAGAATATATTCCAAGACTTTTGGGAAAGGGGAAAATAAACAAGTATGCCACCCAAAATGCGCCAGCCTGTTTGAATCAAATCTATTTTGTAAATCCAATTGGCATCGTACTCGATAAAAAGGAAGAAGAAAAACCCAAACACTGTGATGGCCATGACGGGAGAGATAGGGGAGGGGTGGTTTTAGGCATATTATAATAACCATCTGTACAGTCAAACAGAAAACTACATCTTGCTGTTAGAATCATAAAGAAAGGGAACAGATGTTAATCCCTAATGGAGTTGACAGGCACTTTCCTGTCTTTCACATGAACATATTGAGTTTCTGAATAAGAGGGGGATCAGAGGGAAGGTGTATCATGTTGCACTCATAATACATGCATATCAAAGACCCCAGCTGTTGGATTCCCTCTCCTGAGAGACAGCATTATTAAATCTGCACTCAGCAAGCATATCACACTAGCACAAGAGCTTAAGCCTCCCCATCAGTGGGCTCCATCGGCTTGGCGATTTGTAACCTATCAAACAAGGAGATTATATCATCCTTTAAAGTGTAGAGATAATCAGTGCCACACACCTGTGTCTTATTTAGCCTTTATTTGAGATCAGAGCTCAGATCTGGCTAGGAAAAAAAGCTCAAGTGCTATAAGTATAAGAGAAGTGTGTTGTTCATAATTGGCATGATTCACACACTCACACTCACTCTTCACACTCCTGCTGTCGGGTGATGAGGGCTGAGATACTGCCAAAAACTCTTTTTTCCCCCCCTTTTGAGTATCTGTAACAGAATCCACGTGGCTGACAATGTCACATGTCGATACAAAACTTAAAGTTTGTCTGTTAGTCACCAGCTTCCCCCATGCAGTGTGGAGCATTGCATCTGTCACTTGATCACAAGATGATGACCAGTCGGTGTTTGTCCACTAGGTGGCAATATACGCCTTCAAATGTGGAGACAGAGCTGGCTAGAAGGTGACAAAACTGGCAGCTACTGTCATTGCATTTGATGTAGAAGCTTATCCTCACCTGATGCAACATCTTTCTCCACGTTTCCCCCACCGTTCAGACTGGACTTGTGCGCACGGGCCGGGGTGCTGTTCAGGTTTCCATGGGATCGGAGAAAGGAGAGCAGGACACCCTGATGCTGGAGCGGATCTCCCTGCCCTGGAGTCAAGCTCTCCAGAGACGAGATGGGAGTTTCTGCCCCGGCGCCTTCCCACTGTCCGAGCTTGCTCTGCTTCTTCTCGCTAAGACCCTCAAAATCAACGCTGGGCTGTCCCAGCTCCATCGAGTCAAGGACATCGTTTTTCAGCATCTTCCACTTAGCATCATCATCACTACTGTCCTCCCTCTCTTGCTCAGATTTCTCAGAATTGCCTTCCCCATCATGACCTATGGAGCCTGCATTCTGAGAGTTCATTTCCTCTTTTGTTCCCTGCACCAAAAGGTCACACTGATATGCGGGTTTCATACTGAGTTCAGCTGGTGCATTGGAGTAACTTTGTAGCCGGCGGCTAATGGAGGACGAGAGTCCATTGCTAAAAAGGCCAGACATCTGCACCAGGACAGCGGGAGACATAGCTGAATGAGCTGGAACAGATTCTGGCCTGACAGACAGATCCAGAGGCTCATACTGGGACTTCCTAGTTTGACCAGATGAGGAGGCTTCTTCCCCCGGATCTTTGTCGGTGAGGTCAGCCTGCTTGCTGACGAGCAGAGCTTTCTCAGCGTGGCTTTCCAGACCGAGGTACTGACCTGCAGCCGGGCTCCAGTCTTCCCTAGATCTGGGTCTGAGCTTAGGGTTGGGGCTAGAGCTGCTGCTGCTGCTGGGCTGCAGAGGAGATGAAAGGTCTCTGTTGTTCGGCCAGTGAGGGAAGTGGTAGCGGTCCAGATGGAAGCCGAGAGAAGCTGGCTGTCCAGCGGTGTAGTCGCTGGAGAGTGGACACCTGTAGACTTTCTCACCTAGCACAGACAATAATAGCAAAAAACACGATAGAATCCCAATCAAATCAAGGAAGTATGTTTTTTGTGGCATTCTGAGTATTTTGCTCTGTATGCACCAAGACCAGTTGTCTAAACATGAAAAATGTTGCAATCTCACACCAGGCTGAGTTGAATGATTTAAGTGCTGCCCTGCAGTAAATCAAGCTTGTAATCAGCTTTCAGCTCCAGTGATCCATCATCTTACAGTATGGACGCCACCACCATGTGCAATAAATACACCCAAAGATGTTAACACCAAACAAGATTCTTCCAGAAATAATAAACAGTGAAATTGTTAAGCAACTAGAACAAGGCAGATGTTGCAGACAATAGCCTCATTCCATCAAAGCCAGTAAGTGGGTTTCCCAGTCAAAAATAACGAAGTCCAACATGTGAGTAGTTCTGATTAACCACACCATCTACTGTAAGCTGAGTTTATTTTTGCTTCATACTTGAAAAATGGCATGTTTGGATCGTAATTCAAAAAGTACAAAGTGTGTTATTGTGGAGAATGACAAAGGGTAATTTTTCTCCTTTTAGCCTGTGAATAATATCCATCTGGATACAAGATTTGATCCCACTCACCATAACTTTTAATTAAAGGTACTTTAAATGTCTTCTTCCCTCTGTTTACCTACACTTTCATCCTTATAGCTATCACAGGAACACCCTGCAGGGTTAAACACACTCCCTGTGACCATTTTGAGTTAGTGATTGTCTGAGACCTCTGCTTTGCACTGTCTTTAAACAGCCCAGCTGTTTCGCTGCCATTCCAATTACAGTAAAAGTCATCCGACGCCATTAAGCCACAAATATTGGCAGTTTATTGCCCAACACTCTCCTGGCATTTGAAGGTCAGGTCATACATTATACTGTGTCTTTTAGGGATGCGTCTGGGATGGGGAGATAAACCCACCACCATTAATTTAATTCTATGCATATTGATGCCTTATTGTTCTTCTTTAATGGACTAATACCTGAGTTACTGCAGTGATTCATCCTCGCCACAGAAATATCAATTTCATACACCTCAAGATCTGACCCTGAGGTAATTCTCTGAGGTAAATCTAAATCTAATGATCTGTAGTTGTGGCTTTACTTTGTTTCCAACTTTAATAGGAGAGCCATCATTTTTGAGCTGAATGGTAGTAAAAGGATGGCTGTTTTTTTCCTATAACAATTTACAAAAACCATAAAATAACACCCACATATTAATTAAACCGAGCTCTACCTAATGAGATTGAAAAGTCACAGCTGAAACGGACAGATCGTGCCCTTGATCTAAAGTCACTACCCTCTATTTTGCACTGTAGTTGTTAGTGTGTGTCATCAGTATGTGAAGCATGCTTGATATGATGTTTGCATACAACAAAAGTGCGTGGCGATGTGCGTGGGTGTGCAGGAGCGGGAAATAGACTTCAACAGTGCCACACCCTTGTCTCCAGTAACAGTAAAAAAAAAAATACAAACAGCTTAATGGAACTCTTTCAGACACGCTATATATCTCAATTATTCCATGGCTTAAATTACGATGACATTACCGGCCAGCTCCAAATGCAGAAAACACATATATCTGACCTCATCTTTCAACATGGACCTTCCTAAACCCATTTGCCAGCCTCCATGAGAGCGGTAAAACAACACAAAGACTAAAGACTCTGCCTTTTCTCTCTTCCTTTGGAAGGGTGCCATCTTTGTGATTGCCTGGTTCATGCTAACTTAATCAGTTTAAGATTTACTTACAGTGCCGAGGCTCACATTATGTGAAGGGAGTAATTTTAGAGCTTAGATTTATCAACCAAAACTCCAATTACTGCATCATTACAAGCCCCAGCCTCTCTCACCTAACACACAGCATCTAATGAAGTGATGCGTATGACTTATCTGCTCCTGCTAGATGTGCACATTGGAGGAAAAAGGTAAATAAATAAATATATGCCTCAAGTGAGCCATGTTAACAGAAAAAGCATGCAGCTGGGCTTGGGCTAGTGATTCATTTCATATGGAAATCGGCTTTAAGATTTACAACTATATATCCCCGTCAATGCAATCACACTCTCACATATTATTTGCTCATATGGGCTTTTGGCAGTTATATTGTAGATATCAAACTCTATATAGAGTGGGGCTTTTGGCTCTCTCTATATGTAATCAAGCACCTGAAATGCAAAACATGGTGGCTGGTTTGGTTTAAGATGAAACAGAGTGAGAGTCACACACAAGACTGGTGAGAAAAACAGGGGCACCAGATGTTCTTTGATGTTTATAATAGCATATATTATTAATATTAATTAGACCACATAGTCAATGACGCATTTGGGACGTTTCCAAGTCAATTAAGCCAAATGGCATTCAGGAGACGGCGGAACAATATTTCAAGGCAGGTGTTCAGAACTCCCTGGGTAAATCTTTTTATCTGCATGCTAGGAAAACAAGCATTTTGAGCTTAATTTGAGCCTCATATCTGCAATAATAATTAAAAAGCGGATTAAAAGACAGAAGTGAGAGGTAGATAGAAAAGCCAACAGGTAATCAGTTTAGACAAACCAGTCAGACTTGGTGATCTCTGAATAAGAGATGATTTTCTTAAGCCATGACCAAGCTAGATAAGGACCTATTTAGTTTTAAAGATGCTTTTACTGTGAGCGGTCACAAGGAATTGACTAAAGTAGCTGGTACAGCCAAATGAAAAATGATACGCTGTGCAGAAACCAGCTTTATCTGTGTTTCTGGGTACCACAAAACCAGTGCTCATATTACCATTCACAATTTAACACGCTTATCATTTCAGGCTCTCTGGGCTGCAACGCTGACAGTAAAAGTAGCATAAAAGCAGGAAATAAGGGACAAAACGTGTGGGGACAGCATCATTACATGGTGTCTGCTCATTGACCTTGAGGTTAAGAGTTTTGAATACGACTAATTAATAACTGTCAGTGCATTTTGTATTCGTTAGGCATGTTTTCATTCAGATCTGGGTTCTAACTGGTTTAATGTAGGTCAGAGGCCTGCTGCATGTACCCTTTCGGAGTTGATCATTTCAAGATTCGTTATTCTTAATCTCAAATTATAATTAAAGCCAAACTGCATTTTGAAATATGTCCTGATTAGATATTGAGAGACGCAATTTGTAACATGCCCTCTATTGAAGTCAAAGTGAGATTTCTAATTTTATGCAGGGTATTTGTGGTTAAAAATCTAAATCTGTATCTGAATGTATCACGCAAAGAATGGCTCTCTCGCTCTGACAACCATGACTGTACTATATTTGCTATCCATATTGAGAACATCAATAACTTCAAGACCACCATAGGCTGACTATGAATAATGCAGCCAGTAATTCTGGACTAATCAATGTTCCTCAAGCTGAACATCTGGCAGTGGTAATTCTTCCTCAGCATCTCCGCTCTCCTGAATTAGAAAACACTCTCTCCCTCTCTCTTCCTCCATGTCCACCTATCAAGACAGACAGACTTGATCAGTTACAACCCCCCATCTCCGAAAAAACTTACTCCTGTTATTAAACCCTCATCAAGTGGTGCGTGTTCTCCATATGTGTAGGATTTACCTATCTGTCCCGCAGCAGACCTGTGTGTTGAGCCAGGGCCAGCAGCGTGTGATTGTGTTAATTAATCTGTCATTGTGAGCGCAGGGAGCAGCTGCAGAGGTCTCTGGGATATATTGTCAGAGCTAAACAATGCGGTGCTAAGCCCCCAGAGTGAGTCTACCATTACACAGGACTAAGAACTGAGAGAAAAGGAGGAGAGGGGGAGAGAGAGCCTGCCGGATCCATCATTGACTAAAGCAATGACGCCTGACCTTTACAATGAATTAGTTTCCATGCTTAATATTGACTGAAATTAGAGTCTGATACTGAATGTGCCATCCCAGAACTGTGCACACTCAAATCCTCAGCTAGCCAACTATCATAAATGTTTCTGCAAGTGACACCGTATGGTCTTGGAGATAGGGGAGAGGAGGGAAAGTATAAACAACAGAGCTTGAATATGTTTCTTAAAGAGCAACCGGAGAGGGATTTGGCCATAAACTGCAAGCATTGACATGTAAATATGCAGATACCAGTATGTGTGCACAATATGGAAACAAAACATCTAATGGGATTAGACCTGATCCATTTATCTCTGCTATACGGACATCATTTTAGAGGATACTGGATCAAATCCCACAGGAGCGCAACAGACTTAGATGTACATAACAGTGCTACTTTAACACTGGAAGACAGAAAAGGAAAAAAACTAAAACACCATGCATAAGCTAACACGAAATCAAACAAAGTTGGGATTTATCGCCTTGTTCCTTAACACTGTTAAAGCAGTAATTTTGACTCATGATAACATGTTCGCAGGATGCCATGACAAGAGAGGCATCTACCCATCGAGGCGAATCATCCAAATCACCAGGTGGAAAAAGAACACTATCAATAAAAATACCAGGTGGTAGATCAAATCATAAAAATCACTGGGTGGTATATATCAAATCATTAAAAACACCAGATGGCATGCATTAACATCTTGTGCCCCCGTAGGCAAGGGGTGGGGATGTGACAGATATAAAATAGAGGGTACTAATTATCCCCACAATTCAACATGATGCCATTATCTTTAAAAGGAAGACAAAGTCCTCGTGGATGATAATATCTGTGGTGTGTTGCTGACCCTGTGCTTATTGTCGACAGAGTCCAAGCAGGGGAGAGATTAAGGCTTACATTCCTAAAGAAAAACAAAAAATAGCTAGAAAAACAAGGTTTTTAAATAGAATGAGAAATCCTAATTTGTTGATCTACTCGACTGAAAAACTAAGAAAAAATTTAATCAAGGATTAGACAATTATCCCACAATCAGGGTTCTATTTTGGAAATATTACACTTCTGAAAGCTTCAACAAGACATTTATAGAGTCTAAGCTGTGTTCATTAGTACAATCTACATTTTCTCATGCAGAATCTGAGCTTTGCTGTACTGGTTTACCTGTAGCCGGAGAGGAAGACTGTGGTCGATGGTCGATGGCGCTGCCAGAAAAGGAGTTCCCTGCCTCTGTGATCATTTCTGCCATGGGCTCGTGGTGACTCACGCCCCCTGGGCTCCCCGGTCTGCTGGTGGCCTTAGAGTCTGGGTCGCCGAGACTCAGTTTGCCTTCATCTGCGGGGAGGCATCTCTCAGGCAGGAAGGAGGAGCGCTGCTGCTGCTGCTGCTGCTGGTCTTTAGAGCTGAATATCTGCTGCTCCATAGACAGGCCAGGTCCTAGGATCTGCCAGCCCGCATAGCTGCTGCCGCTGCTGCTGCTGTTGCTGAGAGCCTCTCTGTTGGAGACGACTTTCTGCAGGTACTCCATGCCGCTGGAGCTCAGTGAGGGCTGCAGGTGATTTAAGCCCAACAAGGAGGAACTCTCTGCATCTGTCAGAGGGCCCGGGCCCGAGGAAATCATCCTGCCTAGCATCTCCCTGACCTTCATGTCCGCCCCCGCTGTGGCCATCATGTGGTTATAATCTGACAGATCTGCTCTCTCGGGTGTGAAGAACCTGTTGTGGATGTGGGAGATATACTGGGAGTAAAGATTACTCTGGTGGTCCTGCATCAGGCTGCTCATGTCGACAGAGGAGTCCCGCTCAGCGGGGATGTTGCTCTTAGCAGCCAGCTTGTTGAGGTGGACTTTCATATGGTTCTTGAGGAACCAGGGCTCCTTGAAACGGCGGCCGCAGATCTGACAGCAGTGCTCGAACGAGTCTTTGTGTTTTCTCATGTGACCCTTCAGGAACCAGGCCTGGCTGAAGGTTTGGCCGCACACCTCACAAGGAAATTCACCAGTGGTTTTCCCCTTGTCACTAGCCCCCACTGATGGCTTCTGTCCTGTGCCTGAATCGGCAGTAATGTGAGTCATTTCTACGTGGCCGATGAGCTCCTCCTCGTGCGCGGCAGCAAACTCGCACAAAGTGCACTTGTAGGGTTTGTGTAGGATCCTGATGTGGCGCTCGAGCTCCTGCTGCTTCCTGAACTTGCCTTTGCAGAAAGAGCAGCGGAATCCAGTAGTTTGGGACTGGGCGGGCTCATCTGGGATGGTGGTGATCTTGGGAGAGGTGGACGCATGTGGCTGCGCACCGGCCGCGGAGTTGCTTAAGAACGCGGGCTCTGAGGACACCGTCTGCAGGAAAGGCTTCGGAAGCTGGTTTGCGTTGGACGTCTGCGGCTGCTGCTGGCCGACGTGAGCGGCCCGGATCTGCCGGTCTCGGAGAATCGCCCTCTCCTCGAGCTCGTGAAGCAGCCTGTTCTCCTCTCGAATCCTCCCTCGGCCTTTGCCCAGAATTCCTTGCTTGTGCGTGCGGAGGTGTATCTTCAGGTTTCCCTTTTGCGCAGCCCTGTGGTCACAGTATGGGCACTTGAAAGGCTTCTCACCAGTGTGAGTGCGCATATGAAGTGAGAGGATGCTGTTGAAGCGGAAACGCTTCCCACACAGCGGGCAAGGATACTTCCTGTTCTTTCGGCTGTCATCTTGTGCAGAATTTACCTGGGAGACAATACTTTGATTAGTGACTCTCAGGAACTGAGAAAGCTCCACTCTCCCATTCATGCTGCTGAGAATTCTTGCATCCATGATTTGATTGGCCAGAAGGGCCATCTGGCTCCTAATTGGGTGGGTGGACGGAGTAATGAAGCAGTCGTCTCAGAGACTGGGTGCTGTTACAGTATGGTGGTCAGGGGTATATATTTGGGACAGTCAGAAGGTTCGCAGTGAAACCAAGTCAAGAGTTTACACTTATTCAGTTGAAACAGGATGTGGAGTCATGCTGTTCTGAAGAAGCGTCTGTTTGTTGCTGCTCAGACCTATGGAGAGAAAAAAAAGGGGGCATAAAAATCATTAAAACCCTGCCACAATAATGTAGAAATAAAATTAAAATGCACAAAGAACCAACCAGAGCAAAAAGACAAAGGGAGTGGAGCTAAGTGTCAGAATAGTTATAAGCTGTCATAAAATATGTAAATATGTACTTTTGCAACTGCTTTATAATGCCAGTGATGCACCACAAATAGGTCAGGAAATAGAGCAAAGTAGGTTCTGACTCTTCTCATCCTGTGTTAAGTATACCTGTGGTTTTAGATTATTGTAGGAGACTGTAAAAATGCTGATTATGTCTAACCACAAAGGCTTCCTCAACAAATATCTCATCTTTACAAAAGGGTAAGGTGAAAATCTTGTCTAGATCTCTGTTTGTACTGATACAATAAGGCAGTACAGACATCAAAGTCTGTCTGCCTCGACTTGCCCTTCCTTTGCATTTCATAAGTCTTTGAAACACTTAAAAGAAAAGATTAAAGTAAATAGCTGTGCTTTTTTCAGCAGGTCTGCTGCATATTTGAATAAAACCTTTAGCAGAATAATTATGTCACAGGAGTAATAAGGAAATGAGCTATTTAATTAATGATAGATGCAAAAATTCAAACTGCAGTTAAAGGAAGGATATCCAAAAGAGAAGCCTCCCTTTTTTGCCAGATCCTTTCTTTGCAACTGTAGCAACAAAACAAAGCTTCAAATTCACATCATGCTACAATGGTAGAGGTCACATAGTCGAGCCCTGCACAGCTCTAGTGCAGCACCAAAGGGCACAGAACAAAGGCTGCACTGTCCACCCTGAATTAACACAGGCTTACATCACCCTGGACTACAACCTCAGTCAGTCACGAAAATGATGTACACAAAACCACACAGATAAAAAGCTGGCAGGCTGGAAGACACCATTCGTGTCAGCAGCAGATCAGAAATCAATGAAAGCATGGGGTAATAAACCAATCGTACACGACGGAAAAAAGTTTTTGAACACTAAAGCGTTGTAGAAACACTTTCTATGTGCTAACCTGCCGCTCTTAGGCCGTCACAAACAGGGTATGTCCACCCTCCTCCCACTTCCCACTCACTTTCAAGGATTACGGTCATTAGAAGTATTATTGCATTAGCTCCTATTGATGTCATTACCCCGCTGTAGCCTTGAATGTGTAATATTGTACACTGTATCCAACTTGGAATCTGCACCGAGTCAATAATGATTGATCAAACTCTGCTTCAAATGGCTTTGCATCTGCAGCATTTTTCTTAGATTACTTTGTATTTCTTCTTCAAGCACTGCAAGTGCGCTCTCGTATCTGGCATTCATATCAAGCTACAAAAAAACAGTTACTGTAGCAAAATGCAAGATAATAATCCGCTGTCAGAATGCGACACACATCATACATTCATACACACATATATACATATATAAAATAAAGGGCTAATGTGTTCAGACTTTAATGTTGTATATCTCCCACACCCACTACGTACCTAAGTTAAAGCTTCTCCCATTCCCAATCTCCCAAAAAAGAACATTTAACAGTCAGATCAAAACTCTAGATTTAATGTAACTAAAGGGCTCCTAAATAAAGTGCTTGACCATGAGTCCGGGCCACCTGCTGCTGCGTAGCAACCTCAGTCAGTCGTGAAAATGTTACACATAAGACCACACAGATACAGAGCTGCCGGCAGCCATGGCTGGTTTGAACGCTGTGTCTGCTCTGAGCTGAGATCAATGTAAGGATACGAGGCTGACCTAATCATATCTGACAGGGAGAAAGTAAGTGAATCGTATTAGCATATATTGAATCCACTTAATATTTACAAAAGTGGTATTCCTATGATTAAGTAAGCAGGGAAGAATGAAACTGCCTGTGTGCGCGCGTGCGTGTGTGTGTACGTGTGTGTGCAGGGTGGCAGGTTTTGTAGAAATAGGTGTAGATGGGAGCGGGATCATAAGGTGATTTCTCTGTCAGAGTGGATTAGACTCTTTTGGTGCAAATTGAGAAAATACTTGATAGTTATGAGGCACTGTGTCACAGTAGCGCTTCTTAGGTGTGGATGCGCATTGACGAAAAAAGGAGCAGGTGTGATTTAACACAGGCAATAAAGGAGAAACAAAAATGTGACGCATACACACACTGTTAAACAAGCCATGGGAGCTGTGTATTCAGGATGATTTTGGATCAAACAATACATTTGTTTCCACTGCTGTCAGCCAAAGGATTCCATAAATGATTTAGCCGAGAAGAGAATGGATATATAATCTTTTTACTTTGCAGTATATTGTCAGCTGGAGTGGGTGGACAGCATTGTAAATGCACAGAGAGGTGACACTAGAATGGAGAATGGATAATATGAATGAAATGTTTAGATCTCAGCTATTGATATTTCACTTTTGTTTTAGCTATATTTTATACTATTCTTAAAGTTTGTTGAGTTTAAAAAAAATTACCATGATAGCACTACAAACAGCTACTAAACAGGTTGCAGTAGGCTGTCTGATGCAACAGAGGATGATTTAAGCAAGTTATGTTGAAAAATGTAGTGGGTACTGTGATAATATAATGTACCCAAAGACCATCTGATGCTTTACATGATTCATACACATTCAATGTCATAATGCTTTAAGTGACCTTAAGGGACTTGGTAAAATCTCCTGTGGGCATACGTTCAGGTTCCTAACTGTCTCAGACAGGCCATTTTAATCCCGATCAAGTTTGATGATGAACATGTCTCTTTATTCTTTCCAATATTGGTCAAAATAGAATAGGATGAGTAACGACTCTCAAAATTCCTGAAATTCCATGACTTCCCAGGAGACAACTGCCTTATTCATTCTTACAGAGCGGGCTTATGTACGGAGTAGAAGCCCGATGCCATGCTTTATGCCCCCCTGAATCTCACTTCAACCCACACATCCACCCACCAAAAGCAGCCAGCCAATCATCCTGCGTACTGCCCTGTCAGGGGATGAAGAGGCTGTACAAGGAAGAGGGCAGTGGTAACACAGCTGCCCGCCATGACCCGCACAAAAGATAGCGCCCATATACTTTCTGACAGCCAGATTAATGAAACCCTAAAGGAGCTCCTCTGTAGGCCCCCCAAAAGCCTGACGGAGACAGAATAGTCTAACCAGCGCCATTCATTACTGCAGGAGTACAGAGCACAGAAAGAGCACACACAGCACTGACAAACTAGCTCCTTGTGAGTAATAGCTAAAGAACTCATAAAGGAATACATACACATTTGTTGTGGATGCAGTAAATCTATGCCACTCCTTTCATGACTATCAAAAATATGGCTGGTGCCCTGTAAAAATAAATCTGGCGTGCATGTGTTGCAGCGGTGATGTGCTGTTATTTGGGAGTCAGCTATTTCATACATTCAGGGAAAGGAGGCTTTTTGATTAATTTTGTTTGTCTCAGGCAGTAATGCAGATTAGCGGCCTTGAATGCAAGACAGAGACAAAAATTAAGTTCCTGTGGCAACGTAGTTAAAGCTACAGGCTATAACATCTGTAGGCCGGTGTGAAGACAGCAGGTTTGCCAACTGTGTACCTGTTTGAGTTGGGAGAGACTGTTTTCTTTCCTTAGACGTTAGCACTCTTAAGTCCTTTAAACGACCAGCAGCTCACTCATGGCAAAATGTGACACCCGTGGGTGAAGTGGAGGAAACATATGCACTTTGCGTTTAAACTTTGCATTCACGAGGTCCCTCTGTTGCTTCGAAAAGCTCTCAAATATTTCACAGGGAAGGAAATGTACACTTTACTATTAGACATCGAGCACATGCAAAAACTCCCACTCTCTCATGCTGTCTCTCCTTGTCTCTCTCTCTTTTACACACACACACACACACACACTCACACACACGCAATCACACACACAAACACACACACGCACACACTGGCACGTGAACGTAGAATGTATTTTAAATCACTAATGTGTAAACAGTTGCTCTTGTTTGCACAGACCACCTGTTCTTTCTGGACACAAACAAAGCTTTGGCGTACGGCGGGGCGAGTTAACAGTGTGGGGTGCGTAGGGGATGCCTTGCACAAGAGAAGCCTATCCACATGGTGTAGGCTGCATCAGATGGTTGGGCCCTGCGTGACAGCAGCCAGCTCCAACATAAACTCAAACAGATCTCAAAGAATGGAGCTCCTTCAGTCTGCAGCATACTGGCATGAATTGATTTCACAACAAGAACAACTTCCCCCCTCGATGAAAGAGACGCAGGGTTGTCTGTGGAAAGCCTTGTCACCATATCACTTAATTCAACGGGACTCCGGCTGTGAGAGGATAATCTTGTTTTTGCGTTCACTTTTCCCATCGCCCAATATTTGCAAATGTGGGAAGAATGAAAGAGAAGCTACATCTACTTGGAGTTGTGAAAGCACTTGAAGGCACTAAAACAAAAGTCATTAAACGAGTCATCACAAAATCACAGCAGGACTCTGGTAATGCCACTTACAGTAGCTCATTAAGCTATGGCATCCACAGGAAAAAACTGACAAACAAAGAGCATAATCCAAGGCACATTAACTGGGCTGATAATTCAATGAACTCTCATTTGGCAGCCATCTTGCCCTGGTGATGGTCTTTTTTCAGCCACAGCAGCAGAGCACATGCCCGTCATGAAGCCGCTACCTCTCTCTGCCACTCTCTCTCTCTCTCTAACACACACACTTTCCATCTCTAAAAAAAGAAGAAAAAAAAACATCCACCATTAGACAACGGGGTACCAGCGTAATTAGAAAATGACTTCCTTTGCAATCCTAGCTAAGTAGTTTACACACTGTAATTACAGGGACAAAATCATCTTTTCATCATTTTACTGATTGAGCTCATCAACCCAGTGGGATCCCAGGACTATACTCAGGCAACATCTGGGCTAAGAGAATTAGCCCTTAGTGTAGCAGGCCTTGCGCTGTGCAAAGCAAAGCAGCATGAGCACCGGACACGGCCGCGCATGGCACGCATCTCCAATTTGAGATGGTTTTTCGAGACTCTGTGTCACATCGGGTGTCAGATCGCGAGCCCTTTTTTCTGACTGTGGTGATTCAGCGATGCATTCAGAGTTCACTTGCTCAAGCACAATGGAAGACACAGAGCACGGCTTCTGCGCCGTAACTATCTCTTTTCCCACGCTTCCAAAAATCCTGTATCAAACTTTCACTCCCCTCCAGCTCCCCCTTGTACTTGCAAATTGAAGCATTGAAGATTGACCTTGGCGCACAACAACGCGTCTTTTCACGGGCCACTCCATTAACTGTATTTCGCCTTGACTTCCTGACAACACGCATGCGGTCCAGGAGTTGAAGGTGAAGAGCTTTTGTTCGTCTCTGTCCTGCAGAAGAGCACCGACTACCTCTGTGTGTTGGCAACAGAGGCAAGTGTTTAATGTGGCAGCTGTTAGCCTCGTGGATTTTCACTAATCACTCTCTCCTGATTACTCTGATGAGTGTATGATGCTCTTAAATAATCAACCCGCAATGAAAAAAAAAAGAAAAATAATTATCATCATCTCCCTAAGTAGTGCAGCTGCACCCGCCTGCAATAATTACAACTAGAACAGGGCGCTTTCTCTCGTCACTTACAACCACTTATTATTAGAGATAACGCTAATTGGTGCAGTGGTGGGCGACAATTCTTCATGGGGATCATCATAAAAAGCCAAACCTTGAAAGTTATGGCACATTAGAGGTCTTAAAGCCAAGGTACGGTATTAAACACTGCATGCTGAGACATGCCGATAATCTGAGCCAGGGGAGTAGTAGACGTCCTATCAGTGGCCCCTCGGTTTCCTCGCTGCCTTGCCCTCACTCCACCCTTCCCCCACGCCTGGTATCAGCCTGGCAGACACAATTAACATTTTCATAAAAACAATTCCCTGCCTCCAATAGTCCAATGTAATTTGTTTTCCATCTCTGTTCATTAATCATTGTTTAAATCGGTGAGCCATCCCCTCCACTCTGCCATCTGCACTCAGCTGTGTTACAGATATGACACCTTCCCCCTTAATGGGAGCTGACAGCCAAGAGAGGAGGCCTGTGGAAAATAGCTTCCTGCATGTGCACTTCCACCTCGCATACTGCCAGCAGGTGAAAGCGGGGTATTTAATAGGTTCTGATTAATTTCAAAGGCAAACAACATTACAATACAACATTATACAGCATGCAGCCCCCCCCCCCCCCGTTATATACGGTGCAGCGGTACAGAATGGGTTCGGAGCAACAGTGGCTAAAACAACTACATCCAAACTCATACAGACATGCGTTTGAACAATAGCAGCGCATTCCAGATTCTGTCGAACTTAAAGACCGCTCCCCCCCCCCTCCTCTAGTTAAATTAGTGCAGTGTTCCTACAATATGCTATTGTTTTCCTGGAATTGGGAGCAAGGTTATTAATTATTCACTGTTGTGTTCTCATATGAGGGGGCCATGCTTTTCACTGTATTGCCTCATAGCTCAAATACTTAGGGCCATGGTACTCAGGCAAATTTCATGAGGCAACATCACAGCGATATTATTATCACAAGGCATTCACTTAGGAGATTAAAAGTTTCCTGAAGAGTTTGAATGATTGGAAAGGATCCGACGTCTCTCTGATATGATTTCAAAGTTCTGGAATTTCTGTATTGAGAAAGACACGTCGAATAACTTTTGCCTTGCTTTTTTTTCTCCAAGTGATTTTAAGCCTAAGTCTGAACAGCTTAGGCATTGTTGCAAGGAGAAAATCCTACTCAGTGTGGTGGTAAGGGGGTGCCAAAAAGTTCATCTGGCCTGTTGATTTCACCATGGATTACAGATATTCAAATCATGTGCCTCATGTTCAAACAAGTGCTTCTATCGGGGGGAGAAAGTTGCCAAGCGGGGCTTTGTCATGTAAGCTGTATGAATTTACTGCAGCAGAATGAGAAAACAGGCCGCGGTGGCTACATTTATTACAGTTTCATCCACTCGCCCTCCCTTCCTCAAACGCATTCACAATCATTTCCGACAGCCCTCCTTTCCAGTGCTGGTGTGGGCTGTGGTCCATCTATTAAAGTTTTGCTTTTCTTCTAAGAAAAGGTGAACACCTGAACAAAAATCACCTGGCCCGTTTTTTATTCATCATGGTCACCTTTGCAAAAATTGCCCTGGCTTTTTTTTGTTGTTTTCGTTTTTTTGGAGTGGTGTTTTGAAGGAGAACAGCAGCAGCAGCGGCAGTAAATGATGTGTATATTCAAAGCTGAATATTTCATGTTGATTGATCGTACTGACTGCCACCCACCTGCTCCTCCTCCTGTCCCACCGGAGCTGGCATGAGGAGAATTCAGTAATTGAGAAGAGCAGAGCATGGTCTCTCTTTGCTCACATATGACAGATGGGGCATCATCGCTTCAAAGGAGAGCATTTGGAAACGGGAGGAAGGTGGAGGGAGGGGAGGAGGGGGGGGGCAGAGGGTGAGGAGGGCTTTAAAAGTAACTATGCCACTATGTACAGGTGAGTTTTCCTTAAAAGGCTGAAGATTCTTTAAAAAGTACTATAAGAGCATCAAGAGCTGCAATTCAATGATAGGCTACTCCGTAAAACACAAAAGGCAAACTGAACACTGTAACGCAGACACCTTCAATCATTCATGTCAACCACAAAGCATAAAAAAACATATATAATCGTTTTATTGTTTGTCTTTTTTAAATAAACTTACGCACCGATATTACGCTCCGAATACATCATGGAACCGTGTGACATGACGGAAGATCGAAATGACAGAATGCATCAAAAAACGATGAGGGCGATCTTACCGTAAAAAGAAACCACAAGCAGAGAAGAGCGACAGAAAAAAGCAAACCCTCTGTTTTTTCCGCTCTCTTTCAAAAGACTCCCTGAATCCCTCATCTTCTCTCAGCCCTCGCCATTACTTAAGGCACTTAACACCCAAAAAAGAAACCGTACAGTGGCATCTCTGGGTAAACGCGTGTCTTGCCAGATTCCGACTCATCAGAAACTTTTCAAAAAATAACTTGGGTAAATCTTCAGGTCGGGGTTGAGATTCCTCTTACCTGGCCACTTTGGTGAGGCGCAAAGAACGCGACGTGACAGATGGAGTTCAGTGGATAGTGATGTTGAACGGGATGACTGACTGCTGACTGACGGACCGTACGCTTCGCACGCTTTATCATAAACGCCCTGCACACTGTAGGACCCAGATTTCCCCTCGAACTGACGTTTCTTCCTCTCCAAGACAGCCGCAGACGCGTTCGCTAGTCGAAGCCAGTAGTGCGCTTCGCTGTGTTGCATTTCCAAATGAAGAAAGAGGTAATTAAATCTTTAAAAAAAAAAAGAAAAAAGAAAAAAAAAATTACTCGGGATACTTCGACATGTCCCGAAGCCGTATGTCTCCCTCATCTGGCCGCTGGTATGTAAGTGTAACAGACTGTCTGGCACCGTGCGTAAAACGTGCCCTGGCGTCTTTGGGACGCAGACTATAACAATCCTTTTTCTAATTAGGAAGGCATTTGATGGCACTGTGTCGTGCTATGCATGTCACATTCGTCATGAAAACGCCCTACATAAGGAATATTTAGATTGAAAACACAAAAAGTTATGAAAGCACGATTTATTCACGCAAACGAGTGTAATGGAGTGGTGAAGATATTATTCGACAGGCAGTGATCTGTTGACTGCTTTGTCGAGAAGCTGCTGCTTTTTATGAGCACACACTGCTTCTGCTACATGAGAGTGAACAGGCTAAGGTTGATAACCCAGTGGCTATGCATGTCTTTCGTTACATGGTGCTTAATTGGATGTTTGTAACATTTATCACACTTCCATCAACCATCTGACCTTCACTGTAGATTATTCTCCAAGACAACCAGTAAAATAAATATATAAATGTATTTGCAATCAAGACATATTACTCGGAGGATAATAAGGACCTGGTAAAAAAAAACACAACAATACATAAGAACATAAAAAAGCAACAGGTCCTCGGTTTCCTGCTTTTTGCTGCCTATAGATGTGGTGACTGATTTTCTTCCTAAGTCAAGGGCCCTCGTAGTTTTGTGGAGTCTACATATTTTCAGAAGGGACAAGTAACAACGTAAGTTGCAATTACTTTGATTTAATTTCACGGCTGATTAATCGTTGTCAGCCAAATAATTTCCATGCTGAGCAAATGTTAAAAGCTAATATTATGTATATGAATATACATATGAATATATATTCTTGTATGTAACTGTATGTAACAGAGTAAATCATTTATATATGATTGTTTTTGGATAATTCTAATCATTTCAGAAATCAGTATTTGATTTGTCCAACACTAGCATTCTTGGACTTGTCATTTCATTAGTATTCAGGAATAGTTCTCTCAGCTTTTTAAAAGATAAACCAGCTCTTATTTGAATGTTTGCCACCTTCAGATCAGTTCTCTAGCAATAATCAATAATGTTTAGGTCTGGGCTCTGGGGAGGATTTGTCCTGAAATAAATCCTTTTGCCAAGGATTTTTAGTCTTTAGCCCCCTTTGTGTGTAAATTGCTCCCTTTTTCCTGTTCTTAAGACAGGTCTTGCTGGATTTTTTCTTTCTCATCATTTTCATATACTTTTCATTTGTTTGAGATATTTAAGACTTGTCATTTGTCCACATAGATTCCTTTAATCCTATTGTTCTTAATAATTTATTAAAAGTTTTGGTTTAACAGTGTTAAAACATTCCACTTTTTTTCTTTTTCCTTTTTGTTTAGTTGCCAAGATATCTTTGGGAATTATGTGGTTTGTGCAAACATCCAGTTCCGTATCCATAATGTAATGCTATCTGATTTCTAAGTAGAGCATGACCGATTGTGTCTTTATGTAAGGCAGCTCATACATAGTGTGTAAAATAACCATTTAAATATGAAAAACAGGGCTTTTTTACTTTCACATGTATTACAGTAACTTGTGCGAAGGAGTATAGGCCTGTGTGTAAGTGAGGTGGAAACTTGGATTTGCATTATCAAATGTTAACATAGCACTGAGGCAGATATGCTGGTTGCTGTTTAATCCGTTCTCGTGTCATTTGCAGCCAATTGGAGCTCCTTCTCTCCCCCTCTCAGACCCGAACACCTGTCTGGACAACAATACCTGCTTGAATTCTTCATCACACAACTCTTAAAATCCCCCTTAATCCCTGAAATGTAGATCTTTAGTGTGTTCTGGCTCATTACGTAGTTTGTATTCTAGATTTCTTTGAAAGGTACTTCTGCTATGTTCTACCATATACCTTTGCAGCTTAACCCACATAAGTCCATTGATCTGCGCCTCATCAACACAACTCTAACGTGTTAAGCATTGCCTAATCTGTCTCATGCTACCTGGATTTTCATATTGCAGAATTAATCCTGATGAAATGGTGGGAGGGGGGGTAGTCACCTAAGGACCTGTTTGAAAGCGTCTTATCAGAGACCTGCACTCCTACTTTTTAACTAAATAGGGAGTGATAGCCCTTCAACCCAAAACCCATGGCTTTAATTAAGAAGAGGAAGACTTTAGGCTTGCTGATACTTAGCGGATAGACAAAATAATACAGATACACAAGATAGTCCACTCAAAAGAGAACGCCCTTCATTACCCACACGTTTATCTGAGCTAAATGGGATTTTAGTTAAAAGAAAAAAACTATAAATAAATAAATAAAAAGCATTCAACCACTATTCAAATGTATTTTATAAAAAGATTTATGAGAAAAGCTGAATTTTTGAAAACTCATTTAAAACCTAATAATTATAAACCTTTGATGTAGTAATTACCTTGCGGTGGAATAAAAGGGTAAAATAGTCAAGGATAATGTTTGCAAAAACATCAACTGATAAGCCCTCTGAAGTTATTCTTCATATTGAAAAGGAAAGTTCTCCGAAATGGAGCCAATTTCTTTAGTGGCCACATTAGCAAATCAAGTCGTAGAGAGAAGAGCACCCTGCCTACTGAAAAACATGGAAGAGGATGTTTTATACTTTGGGGGCGCGTTGGCATTTGGTGGTGGAACAGTCAGCTCTTTGATGGGCGACGCAAACAGGACGCCGGCACTTGTGCTGACCCTTCTTTGAGACTATATCTGTGGTTGTCTGGAGTTTCATTGTCTGTGGGATGACTTGTAAAGCTTATGATAAAATAGTTTTTTTGCAACAGATGCAACATAATGGGTGCGAAGAAGTAGAAACTGAATCATTGTCGATCTCACAGAGCTCATTGTCAGCTTGCCTCGGCTGATACAGACACACACACTGTAACATTTAATCTGCTAAATTCCAATGGCTCAGCAGTGGGAAATCAGCTGTTTGACACAGCTTTGCTGTACAGCGCCGGGCTGGGTGTGTGCGGTAAAACATACAGCTGGAAAGCTGGAAACACCAAGCGTTTTAAAATACAGTGGCCAAAAACGAAATATGTGTGATAACAGAAAGGAGAGCGAACTTCTACCAGCAGAAAGGTTCCACATGGCGCCGCACCGGTGTCGTCTTTATTTTTCTGCTAAGCCTTCCTCTGTGAAAAGCACACCTCGACCCAGGCAAATACTGCACAACAGTGCTTTTTCTTTTCTCTTTTTAAAGTTGTGATGCGTAACCACATAAAGCTCAACTAATACCTGAGATAAGACACCAAATCCAAGTTTTAAATCAGAGGAGGAGAACGTAGAGAAAAGAAGGAGGAAGTTTAAAGGCATTTTCTTCTCTTCATCTTGGAGGAAATGCCGGATTACTGGCAAATAAAGTGGATGAACTGTGCACAGATTAGAGCGCTGATGAGGACAAAGTACAACTAACGAGAATGCAGAGTTATGTGTTTAACGGAGACATGGCTGCAGGAGCACATAAAGGACTCCTCTCTACGGTGAATATTAGTGTGGACAGAGACTGCAGACGGAGCACAAAGAACAAAAGAAATGGGAATTTCGCGCTTGTTAACAACAGAGGGGCTAATCCTGGACATTTCACTAAGAATGAACATGAGATGCTTTCAATATTGAACTTGCTGCTTTGTGTTTCCATCCTTGTTGTCCACTGATTGAGTGCACCTGTGGGCCTGCTGACCCGGCACGTGACACCAACCGCACATTTAGGATTTCTGGACTGTGCCTCGCTGCCACACATCCAACTTTCCATCAGTTTGTCAAAATTATGTTGTGTAGTATGGTGCACACTGCACCAATATAATTCTCCTCGGAGGATTACATAAAGTATAATCCACTTCAATAATGCAAAAGAACAACAAGACAAGGAAAAGATGTACTAATTTAAACAGGGCAGCAGGGACTCCTGGTTAAATCCCACTGGAAACCTTTGTAGATAGATTTTTCCACTGTTAATGTATTTTCACCTTTGCTCACATAGATTGGCTTATGAATACATACATGCTATAAACTAGAAAGCTACAAGAGACTTCCAAATTACCATAAACTCACCAGGAGACCAATAGATCAATAATAAATCGCCAAACCTTCTTCCATGGTGCTTTTTAAATGTCCAAACTGATTTGTATTATTTCATATCTGTGCCCATTTTTTATTTGACTTAGTTACCTTTGATATTTTAATGGAAAAAAAAACACATTCATTAATTTTTTGAAAGTTATTCTGCAGTTAAAGTTACAAGATTTTATTAATTTTGTCCAAGGCCAAATCTATTGGCATGTGACTGATTGATAGAGAGGGACTGTGTGATGCTTCGGTTCTACCCCTCATCTCTGAGACAAACATCCAAACAGTACTGAAGTATCCTTTATGGACTGGGTTCTATTCAGACCCATCGAGTTTTGGACACGGTTCTATTACACTAAATTCATTAGATCAGAGCCCTGCTTAATAGTTGTTTCAGATGGTTTCGCTGTCAATGGAGAAGTTACAGTGAAAGGATAGAGAGCAAACGTAATGAAAAGCACACCTTTGTGGTATGAATGTTCACTAGTTTGCTTTCAGATAACTCCCTTATTTTACATCTGAGAGTTTAAGACACAAATATGTCAGGCTATTTAAATTTTTAATGGTTTACAATATCCTAAGATATAAAAAAAGCGAGCATTGCTTATCATGACATGTAAATCATGTAATGGTCCTACATTCAATGCTTTTCCAATGCAAAGATATTGCTTTCAAAATATATCATGCAGGGAAGTTGTAAAACTACGCTCTCAACAGAACTAATTTATTCAATTGGAAAATAGCTTTCGCATTTATATTGTATCTTGAATTTTTACAATCTGAAGAAGGCATTTTGCGTTTAGTTGGCTTCCAACATTAATGAAACCTTATTGCTCCCTTGGAGAGTTTGCCTGCAATTTCAGTTTTGCTATTGAAGATGCTTTAGCTCTTTAAATTTTAATGCGCAACCGAAAAATCACAAGAAATAACAATAAATCATAAATGCCCATCTGAGCCCTGTCAGTGTATGATAATGGCTGTTTAAAGACCCCAACTTCATTCACAATAGTTCTACAAAGAACTACTGCTATGCATTATGTAAAAACTGGAGATCGCCTTCTCAGCATCCTGCCTGTCAGGAAAATATAATGAAGACAACCACACTGACGAGGGGGGAGGGGAAGACAGCGTTCACTGTTGTGAAGCAAAAATAAATCGGCCGGTGGTTTAAAAATCATTCACTTTATTATATTTTCATTTAATTTTCTTTTTAACATCGAGTTTGTCACAAAAAATGCATACATTCATTAGGCAGGTCAAAAAGAAGGTCGAATGACACCTCGCTGCTCCTGATTCTACTTGTAAAAGAAAAAAACAAGGCAACTCGTACTACGTGGCAAAGGCCTACAGTCTCAACTTACCGGGCAACAGCATGGATCAACAGAGGAGCAGTTAGCAGATTAACTGATCACAGATGACGAGTGGCTCAAATAAGCCAGATAACAGAAACATGAACAACCGTTCAGCGCTTTTCATCCTGTGAGCACGGAGAAGTGAAAGAGGCCAAGTGCAAAGGTGTCTGCAGCTCATTCAAACACGCACCCAGAAGCCTGATTGTTAATATATTGCTACTGTGCTTTTTTAAAGAATGAATGAAAGAACCCTCTGCGATTAGAGGTGTAGGTGGCTGAAAGACGAAAAAAGAAAAGGGGGAAAAAAAGGAGAGGGTGGTGTGATTCTGTTCTGTTATAGAGCCGGTTAAAGATGATGGAAAAGAAAAGGCTTGGTAAAGAAGATTTTCTTCATCAAAAGTCACATTTGCTGCAGCCTGGCAGCTTTGAACTTCGACACCTTTTTTGGCACCTGTTGATGCGGGGCAACATCTGGTGCTACCTCCTCCTGTTTCCTCTCGAGAATGGTTGGCAGCGCTGGTGGAACGATGGTCAGATGGGGAACAGCTGATGGCATGGGGTCCTTTTCTACCACTGTGCCTGAAAAAGCCTGCGGGAGAGGAAAGGATAGGAAATAAATGTGAGAAGAAAAAAAAACAGCGCTGGTAACGTAAGGTGGCTCCTCGCTTTTCGCTATCTGTAACTGACCTCTTACACAGAAGACATTTAGCTATTTATGTGCTCATGCTTGTGTATCTTGTTGACATTTAATGTCGGGTTGGCTGAGCTCAAACCAGGGAGGACCAACAACCTGCGGATGGGAGGGTCAGTGGTTTGACTCTCAGCTCTCCCAGGCCACAAGTCGAGGTGTTTGTGCGCAAGACAAAGAACCTTGTGAAGCATCCACGGGTTTACGACTCTTAAAATACTTTGCAGCCCGTATACAGACTACACACTGATGCACGAGTAAGTGAAAGGGTGAATGTGTTATGTGGGGTAAAAGCACTTTGAGTGGTCAGCCAGACGTAAAGGGGAACCATATAAGTACCATTTAATGACTGTTTGGCCACAGGTCAGAGCTTAAGTTCTAAACAGGCAATCTGAAGCTCCGGCGTGACATGTTTATTGATTACGTTTACCGGCTATTTCTCACGTGTGTAATGCGAGAGCCCCTTTCGGACAGAGCTAAACGCATCAAGACCAGTGACAACGGACAGCTGAGAAACCTTTTCTTTGACTTCGAATCGGCTGGTGTGCAGCGGCACAGCGGTGGGGCTGTCCTCCTCCGTGATGCCGTCGCTGGTGTCGCTGTGCGTGGCCTCGTCGTGGCTGAAGCTGCGCCCGATCACCCGCCGCTCCTCGAAGTCGGCGGCGCTGCTCTCGCTGGTGTCGCTGCACACGCTGTTCTCTCGGCTGCGCGACTTCAGGATGGACTTCCTGGGGACGGGCTCCCCGTTCTTCACGTCCACAAACAACCTGGCGAAAGGAGAACAGTTCGGTTTAACCCGTTTAACTCAATTAGATTAGGTCTGTTGCTTTTAGAGTAGGGGGTTGTTTTCACCTGTAAATGTCGGCCGGAGAGCTGATTTTGTGAAGCTCGTGGTGAGAGTGTCCATTGCTGTGGCCGTTTTTCTTTTTTCTCTTCGAATGTTCCTTCTGTTCTTTCCTCTCGCTAAACTTTAACATGGTGTTCTTTCCTGTGTTTATCCTCACCTAAAACCAAATAAAGAAACACAGCACAGAGTTAACAAGAAAAGGACTTCACATTTTTCAACATTTAGAATTTTTGTCATATTTGAAATAATAAAATATTATTCACAAAAACCTTCTTGGGTTCTACTGTGTGAGAAAAAAAGATAGTTGGCAAAGTGTTCCCTTCCTCCTCCTCCTCCTCATCGTTGTTGTTCTTTTCCTCTTTTGTGTCTGTGACTGGCAGTTTACTGTGGGACACAGAAGTCCAGCTGGGCTTCAAACTCAGGCCGTTCACGGGAGACTCAGCATCTGCCTCCTTCTCCTCTTCTGAGGAAGAGGAGGACGTGTCCTCTCCATTCATGTCTGCATTATCTGAGAATCTGTGGGGAAGGATTTCAACAAGACTTTTTAAGTACTCTTGAACTAAAGAGCAAAAGCTGGCTAAGGCTGGATAATACATGTGTTCCATACCTATCCTGCTCATCTTGGAGCTCTTCCAGTTTTTCCAGTTCATCCAAACGAGCCCACAGCTCGTCTTCAGTCATGACGCTTTTTCTGTTTCCTATGTCTAGGCTCTTTTCTTTATTTTCTTCATCCTCTACTTTCAGATCAAATACCACATCCATCTTGGGCTTAGAATTTGGTTTATGAGCTATTCTTTGCTTTCCTGTGTGAGCATCGAAGACACAAAAGAAATGCAGTCACTCTTTATGTGCCCCCCCACAAAAAAAACAAACTATGGTACACATGTTTCTGCTTTCACATAAGCCACGATGACGTGAAATGAGGTCAAAGAAAGGCTAACAAAAGGTACCTTTGTTGACAACAGAGTCATTGTTTCCAACCTCCTCTTTGATATCGACGTAGTCCCCTTTACTCTGAAGCACAAGCATGCCAAAGTCAATACATTTGTCGCCTTATATGTCTTGGACAAGATCTAATCTGTGAGGCAGCTCGGAAAAAATGAAACATACAGCTGACATGGATTCCAAATCCTTTGCAAACCCAACTCGTGCTTCAAAGTTTTTCACTGTCACGGCTAGATCATCTAATTCTTTCTTCACATCTGCAGAAAACAGACCCATTGCGGTAAATATCAGCATTCAAGAGTGACAAAAACAAAATGTGCAGAAATTGGATGCTGGCAACCACAGAGACATCAATAAAACATTCAACATAATGACACGCAGCTGCTAAAGAGTTAAAATCCTAAACAAGTAGGGGAGAGGGGAAAAAAGAAAAATGATGACACAAACAGTTCATAATATCTTCTGCCCTGAATACTACTCCGGATCATTAAATCTTCACAACAATTAAGCCCTTTCACTAATAGCAGCAGAGGGCCCTTGTTTCCATGGCAATCGGGAGCCCCTCCAGTCAGTGCATCAACTGGAAGTGAGGAAAGGTCAAACACAGAAGGCCTGACAACTCAGCCGCTGTCTGACACATTTCAGCTAGCTATGTTTGTATTGCAGCACTTAGCTCTGTAATAGCAGGGTGGGCAGGGTCAGCAGACAGGGGGGAAGGGGGGGGGGCTGTGGATGGGCTGTGGCAGCACATTTCTGCTTCACTAAACATTCTAATAATGTTCACATCAAAGATCATTGCTTGGGCCCATTTGACTTGATGTGAGGTTTTCAGACCAGGCGTGAGCCGCCGTGTTAAAAGGCGGGGTGGCGGAGCTGCTCACCAGCCCTGCTAGTCGCAGCAAAACTGCTGCATCGACGGGATTCGCTCGGTCCAAAGAACGGGAACGGATATGAATTGTTATCGTGGAGTTTAAAACCCAGGCAGGAAGACGGGTGACTTATGAATGCGGGGGAAGCACAGCCAATGAGTGCGTTAATATGCCGTGCAGCTTGCAACTCTTTAACCAGATGTGCAATATGTTATTCCAAACATAATTTATGTCACAGCAGACGCCTGTTATAAATCACAGCATTATGAAGCAAATTTCGTCCTTCAGTAATCAGAGGAGCTGCCTCGGCGCGATGCGCCACCACCCTCTGCTGGACGAACGGCGGTGTGGCTTTCTTTTGCTTTTCTTTTTTTTTTTTCTAATCATGCAGTGATGTCTTTCAGAGACGACAGGAAACACCACTCACACTTCATCCTGTGATCGATGATTTTCTGAGCCTGCTTGGCAGAGCACTTAGAGAACCAGTTGTCGCCCAGCAGCACCGTGACCTCGTTGGTGTGCACCAGCTTCCCAGGCATGAAGGCCAAAGGGCCAAATGGCACCTGCTCATAGCACATTTTTATTTTTTATTTTTTTTGGGGGGGGAGGGGGGACATAACAAAAGAGAAATGGGTCAGTGAACGCAGGTGGCAGAAAGTGGCCAAAGTAGAGCAAACACAGGGAAAAACTTTCACTGATGGAGCGTTTGGTCTCGGTTTCTATTGGTACTCACCATGATGTCGTAGGACAGCTGATCAGGTAGAGTTTTGAGGCGCTCATTCAGGGCTTCGTAGTCTCCTGCCAACTTCCTCCTGCAAATTAATTCAATAACCTGTTAAATAAATGTCGTCTGACCTCTCCTCCGGCCACAAATTTGACGTTTGGCTCAGATGACTTTAATACTCGACAGAGTTTGAAACGTAGAAACAAAAGGCCGCTCTACCCCAAAGGTGCCCCTGCTTTTTTTTTTTTGTGGGGTGTGGGGGAGTGGGGCAGAAACTCCACAAAGATGGCCACAAAGTGAAGCTGCAGAGCTTTGCTGCATGGAGGAGAAAAGGGTGATTCTCTGATTTACTCTAATTACTCATTTTTTCCAGAGCCCCGGCTGTTGTTTGGAAATCTAAGAGAAAGCTTCTTGTCAGCGTTGCGCTTTATAGAAATTGCTCGGCCTGGCTCGACTTCATATAGAGGGTTCAAAGAATGGTGCATCAAAAAGCCCTTATTGTAAATCTCAATTATTCTTCCCTTTACAGACTCTTTGTACATGTTTGAAAGAGATCACATTATTGATAACTTTAAAGTCCAATCATTAAAGAGCTGCAGCAGCAGGGGGAAATGCTTTTATGTCAGTTTTGTTTTGCTTAAACAACAGTTTGTCCAGGTCGATGCCACAAGGTTGAACAGAGCACAGCCACCAAAAAGGCCATTTTTTTGGCTTGTGTGTTGAATTAGTGTGCCGCTCCTTTAAGTCCAGACTGGCATGTCCAGCTGAATTTAGACGCAAACGGATAAATACCAGACTTGTGGACAAAAAATAAATAAATAAAAATCAAATAACATGACCTGACAACTCATGACAGTTTAAATCCAAAAACTAATGACAGCAATTTTACTCCATTTTGCTACTCGGCCTTCTTAAATTTTGTAACCCTGTGCACATGAGCACACCCGTGTTTTCCATTTATTCGAACAAATTAGACCATTATGTAAGAATAAAAAAACAATTAAATAAAGTCACAGCATTAACGCAGGAATCGGAATAATAAAGGAGTAATTTGTCCCGCCCTAATAGGTGGAACAAAGCTAACTGGAGAGTGGGGAAGATTTCAATTACGGTCGGTGCAAACCCGCAGAGTCTTTAACAAGAGCCCTAATCGGCAGTAAGTGAAATCACCTGTGTGGGTCTCCCATGGCTGGCTCTTCGGCGCCCGACAGTGGGGCTGCTAATAGAGACACACGCTAATAGAGCCACACTCAATCACTCCGACATTGATGCTTTCAGAAACTTCTGACTCCCCCTGAACAAACACCCATAAACGCTTCCGTCTACACATCTTTCATATTCACGCTTAATATTCCGCCTGAAACAACCCTCGCGCAATCAATGCAGCCGGGACCGTTGAGCGGAAGCCACTGCACTCAATAAAAAATGTGCTTCGTTTAATAAGGCTGCAGTTTTCTGAAGTTCCCTCCTAAGTGACATCTCACCCACAATAGTGATTCGTTTTAATCTATGAGTAAAGAGCCCCGCAATCTGGAAAAGGCCTGGCCACAAGATCCCCTCATCACGTCCACATATCCGCCACTTTTCTTTGTTCCTCCGACTGAGGGCACCAAGAAAGAAAATTCACAATGGGAGAGGAAACAAGGAGATGTCTGCGAGGAAATGAGACATCCTTTCCTCTAAGCCGAGTCCAACTGTTTTGTTAGCAAACAGCTTGTATGATTTGTTTTCAGGTGTTTATTTTTTTTGCTGCTCTTTGGATTTGCATCACAATGTGTGTGCTGCTCTCTAAAATAAGCACACCTATAGCAGCAAACCTCAGCAAAAATAAACAACGTGAATGTTTGCTCATTCATTTAAGTGCTCTGACTCCATAATTAACCAGATGCACACTTAGTACGGATCCAGTAATTCAAACAAAACTGTAAATCAGAGAACAAATGAAATCTTAACTTACAGCTGACTCTGTACGTGAGCAGTGTACTTTATCTGAGAATAAACCCGCGGTGCAGTTTTGAAGTATTCATTCTCAAAGTTCTGATTATTTTTTTTTTTACTAAGCTCAATACTGTCCTCCTGTAATTTATGGGCTCACCTATTAATGCTCTGGACTTTTAAGAGATCCCTCTTAACCCCCTCAGAAAAGGAACTAAGATTTACCATCACTGTGTTTGACCGACATTTCCTTCACTCTGCTGTCAACTTTGATGAAAAAATGTATCCTATTTATGAAATTTCATTAAAAAAAATAAAACAAAACAAAGAAAGATGTTAAGAAAACGGAGTGAATCATCTATCGAGCTGCCTCAGCCTTCAGGGCCTGAAGGTTTAAGCCGTGTCACAGTTTTAAAATACAAAAAGTGGATTTCTGCTCTGTTGTTAATGACAAAAAGTATGACACGAGTTCTGTTTTCTGTGCCCAAAATTGCTTGATTTCCTTTCTGTGAGAGGAAAACTGCTTTTTAAGTTCATCAGACTCGTTAAAACAAGTTGAAACAATTTTGTAACATATTACCTGTGCTAAATGCCCCCAATTTACATATATCTTTAGAGGATGTTTGTAGGCCAAATGCGTGAAAATGGATGATTATCAACAGAAAATCAAACAGACCAATACAATATCATTACATTTTTTAACAAATTTTTCTTCTTATTTGTGGCTGTAGGAAGTACGCTTAATCCCATCCAGCTGGTCATAAAACAAAATATGTTTATATCTTCACAGTCGCTGTGATGCACGTAGTGAAGGACGGGTGAGAGAAAAAGAAAAGAAACTGCCGCAAACTTTCTTTTATAAGTGAGACAATTGAGATTTTAATGCTCACCAGTGCTGAATTCGACTCTCGCAGTCTGTCACCACCTGTTTTAGGGCAGATAATGTCATCTTAAAACCAAAATCGACACAGTCTCCACAAACCTTTGTCTACAAGATAACATTTTAATTAAAGAGGTTGCGACCATATTCTATAAATGTCAGTAGATTCTTACCTCAGATACAATTAAGAGCACCTTGACTCGATTACCACTCGAATTACTTACACAGAAATAGCATATATTCAGTCACAGCAATGGCATTGTCACATGGAGGAAGCAGACAACATGTACAACCATTAAAGGAAAGTGTAAGAGGAAGACAGACACAGCTGACATAACAGCATTCAAACAGCAAGGACATCTGGCTGTGAAGTTGAGGGGTGACTTTAATCTACACGCTAGGCGTGTGATAGAGCTGGAAACTGTACAAACACGTATTTTCGAACTTTCTTTTCTTTCCTAAATCCACCCATACAAATATATTTTTCAACTTCCGGGCAGGGCAGCGTGCGTTAAGGGGGGCGTAGACTTGTGGAATCTCAGGCTTCCTTGTCCAACTTCCATTAGCAGCCTGGTCAACTACTGGTCAGTTATTCGAGACGTTCAATTCTCTTCGGCTGACCCCCAGAAGTAACTGAAACGGGAAAAGTTTACACACAAGAGCAAAGAAACGAAACTAACTTATGTTACCCCTCCTACATATATGTAAGGGTTTGGACACGTGAGCGGTTGCAATGGGGAAGCTTCTGGAAAACAAGAGTCAGACGACATAAGCGTGTCTGACAAATGTCATATATATGATACAATTCGTGCACTTGTCGTGTATTTCTCGACCAGAAAGCATAGCAGACCGACTCGTGCTTTGGACCCCAACGGAACCACCCGCGTGGCCAGTAGCAGACTGTGGCTAACAGCAGAGGTTTTCCTCGCCAGCGAACGTGTTTTTGTGTCAACAGTTTTAAATTACCTTCTGGTGTTCCTCTCGGAGCCTTGTAACTCCGTCGAGATGCTCTATACTCATTTTACCTTTTTCAGCCATTGTCAGCCCACGTGCACAACGGAATAATGCGATGTTTAGAGACCCCCAAAACAAAGCTCAGGAATTGTTGTGAGTCCTAAAGAAGTGTTTATGAATGCAACAGCAGCTATTCCTGAGACCCGTTCTGCACGTATTCATCAATGGGGCAGTGATGGTTGTCCTCACTTCCGAAGCTGATATCATCTCACACTCTCATTTCAAGATTTCTGCATGATTTCCAAAAATATCCACGGTTTCAAGATCCAAAGATTAGTAAACGCTCCTCGTCACTCTCGCTGCGCCATGCACCTCAGTCCGTCACCAAGGTAACAGCAGTGCTGATGATACTTCCGGTTTCACTTTTCAAAATTAAAGTTCTAAATGCGTCTGAAACAATTGGGTGAAATAAACTGCAAATGAAAATATTACGTTATTCTAAATCTAGTTAATTAAAGGGGGACATTTCTAAGCTAAATTGAAATATTGAAGCAGCCCATGACAGTGTTTGGTTGAGGATGTTTTATGTTATAAAAAATATATTTTTTAACACAGTCGGTACTTTGGTCAAAGACAGAATACCAAAATTTCATGAAGGTGACGTTTCTGACGCTGTGAAAATGTTTTTGGCCTGGAGCATTTGACTCTGCACAGATGTTATATGCAAAATATATTTCCATTTCCATAATGATAATTAACATGTATCATGTATCACACAAAGGTCAATCCCCCCAAGGCAACCTTTCCAGAGATCCTCTTTTAATTCTGTTTCCATTAACCTTTAAAAAATATTACAGACATGCTCCTAAAGATAACGATCAAAAACACTGAATGGCCTGAATATGTCTTAGACTTTCATTGTTAATATTTTTTGGATAGTTTCATGAGTAAGTTTTAAATATCCTGCCTTACCACATAATCTAATAAAATGAGACCTGGTTTTCAGTACTGTGATCAAATATTAACACAATGTTGCAGCATAATCATAGCTTTTACTAAATAAAACTAATAAACCTGAGCATATGTATTTGAATATTTGTATTATTTTGTAGTACCCACAATATTTAGAGTTTTCTTGTTGTTATTGCTCTCTTCTGTCGACAGCTTTCACTCCGGACTTTTAATTTAAGAATAAAGAAATTCCATTTCCGCTTGACAACCTTAAAGGTCAAAATTGACGCAGCTGCTCCTGGGTGTCTCCCGGTGTATTCTGGGTAAATGTGAAGGCTTCCACGGATGTAAACAGTCGTTACTCTGATGAATTGAAACCTACATACGCACACCAACACCTGAGTACACTGTGAGCATGAGCAGTTATCAAATACGGTGGAGGCTTTAAACCAGCCCCAATTTAACTTGTCCTGTGATATGTAAAAATAGTACAGGTGGTATTAATGTATCTATACATGAAGTGGGTCACAAACAATGTTTAGTATTGCTTGAAAATAAAACTCGGAACTGCTGTGCCTAGCTAATGTTCCCTGGAAGACCGTCGATGACCCTTTATTATTTTTATTTATTGCTCATTGGTTGTTGTTGATGCTTTCAATTACCGTCGAGAATACGAAACATGAAGGTGAACGAATGCAAACGACATATAGATTTTTCAACAGAAATATATGGCACTGTAACAATGCATCAAGACTCACAGGCAGAAAAACAATGGATATTGAAGAGATTGATAGATAAACCAAATTTTATTTATAGCAAAGGAAAACTTTTCATACAGTGAAGCAATTATCTTGAAAAAGAAAATATTAACATCAAACATTTTAAATAAAGGATCAATATTAATAATAGTCTATACAAATATATTATTTTCAACATAAGTATATGAATTTATCAATAACCAACTTTAAAATTGCTATTGGACATATATACTTGCTTTGCCATGAAGACCCACTGTTAAGCTTGATTTCACTTGGTGTTTTTTTATACATTTGTGTATGCCTATTTAGATGACTGGCTTGTGTTTTGTGCTCTGTCTTATTATTAAAACCCAACCACTTCAACGCCTGGTCTGCAGCTGCATTTTAGATAACTGAAATTCTTGCTTCTTTTTTTTTTTTGTCCACTCTTACTTTCACTTCTTCCAGCCACACGGTGAGACTTAGCCAAAGGTGAACACTATCATGTAAGGCTGACCATAGACATATGGTATCTCCAATGCCATGACAAAACACAAAAGGGAGACATGGGTTGAAGGCCGAAATAAAAGTAATTTATTGTAAAGAACTCAAACGCAACCAACTTAGGCCAAAGACAAGCTCACTGAACAATGGAGTGTATTAATCAGTCAATCAGTGGTGAAGGCGCATGTATGCATGCTTGAAAAAGTGTAGACGCAAGGTGTTGTGTCATGAAACAATAGAAACCAACAAACCATCAGGCTGTCTGGACCAGTGAGTGGACCCTGTCAGAGCCCCAGAGAAGTGAGCCAAGGCTTGTTTTATGTCCTTCCACTCCAGCTTCTCCAGGTGTGCTGCATCTGATGATGAGGCTGCTGCTCCACCTCCCAGGCTCCTGCAACACAGAATGACAACCTCTGATGATGCGTTACAGCATCAGACACCATACTACCTTAGCATACTTTACTTTACAGGAAAGCCTTTACAGATGTTGGCGGACATAAAACCCTGAGATTTACACCGGTTCACTGTCCGATCGCCGACTCCGATTCTCCACTTTGCCACATTCAAGATGGCGGCGACGTTGACGTACGATGCAGCCCTCAACGCGGCGTCTACGTATATATGTCTATGAGGCTAACGACAAATTACTTAATGAGTTTGACCAGCTATAGCCGCGGCAAAAAGAAAATTAAAGTTTGCTCCTTATAACGAAAATAACTAACATGATCTATGTAACATGAAGAAACCCCCAGTGGGTCTAATAAAATTTCGATTTAGTTCAATTTCCACGAACGCAGCACTGTTGTTGCTCCCGTCAGGCATTGCGGCATGACACTCCGACAAAGATAACAAGCTCAAAAATCATGTTGAGCCGGCAGAAAAGGGACGAACTACTGATTAAACTATAAAGGATAATCTCTGAAAATATCTATGTGGATTGTTTTTAACAATAAGGTATGTAAATAATTTTAAAAAACATTTCTAGGTCATCGGAGCTGAGATGTGTGCCGTAAAAGGGAACTGTGGAATCACGTTACACTTAGCTTTTGTGCTGTTTTCTGATGCAATGAGAGCTATTAAAGGTAGTTTTATTGGTAGGTTGACTCTAGTATCTATAAATGTGCGAACATTTTGATAGATGCAGTGTGATCATTCCTATTTTTCATAGATATTGAAATATTTTTATCTTTTGGTTTGAGAAAGGAGACTTTGTACTTACTCCTCCCGAGTTACAAGTTTCACTAACTGTGTCATGGATTTTCAAGCCTAGACACATATTTACTCCCATATCTCATTAATCACTCCAATTTCACGGTTCCTGCTGTTACATTGGCCAAATGCGTATTGTCTGATGGAAATATCGAAAATTCTGCCTCATATGATCAGATGGATATGTAGCATCAACATAATTTCACCTCATTGTTTACTCCCTCCAAAGAAACCAAATAGTTGTAGTGTATTGTATGTCTTTGTGCCCCTTTTTTATGGGCAACAGCATAGAAAAACACAGCTGAAAGCATAGAAAGATTGAAAAAAGTTGTAGGTAAAGTTTCTATTAACTAACTAATTAACTAACCTTGTGTGCTTTTAACAGTAATAAGTAATGGGGCTCCATTTAATGGGTGGCTGTTTTATGTTTGCACACTAGCTGCGTTTTATGTATCCATGAAGTAATGTTGAAAGTAAAAGTAAAAACTAGCTCTCTGTTGTGCCTTGGGAACCTGTTGGATGAGTTTTCGCAGACTGATCTAGTCAGTAAACTTATTTAATCGGTTCCTATTCAATGTTAAGCGTCACACTGTGGAAAATAGCTGTAACAGACAAGCCCAATCACATTTCAAATCAGTGCTTGTGATTCACAGAATGGCCCAGCGAGTTAATGATGTTATGAAGCTGTGTTGCGAGTTATCTGCCAACCAGCAGATTAAGTCCACGGTGAAGGGCTCGGGGAAAGGAGCGGCGGCAGCTGGAGGGCTCGCTTTCGCCGGGGGATTGATCGGTGGTCCTCTGGGTATTGCTGTAGGTGAGTGGGAAAGCACAACATGCTCTTTCTTGCCGTCAACTCTTTGTAATCTAATCAAGACTGATTCACCAGTTCACGAAACCCTCCTCCCCCCATGTAGGTGGAGCAGTGGGAGGCCTCGTGGGCTGCTGGATGACCAGTGGACAATTCCAACCGCTGCCTCAGATCATAATGGAGCTGAGCCCTCAGCAGCAAAGGCAGCTTTATGACGATCTAATGGTCATCATGGGGGACATCCAGTGGACAGATCTGCTGCAGCTCAGTAGTCTGGTGATGGGGAACCTCGCCCTGAAGCAGCAGCTGACAGCTGCTCTTATTGGGTACGTCACCAAGGAGCTACAGTCCGAGGTGCACTATGTGGATTAGCCTGGTGGTAAAAGAAAATTGCACAAGCTGTCTCAAAGGCCTACAGGCTTTGTGAAAAATACAATACATTTTAGTAGAAGTGGATATGCTGTGAACATGCGTTGCCATGGCACAGACCCCATCCTGCTCCTGGTAACATTAATAAGCAGGTTGCCACTCTGAACAATTAATATATGCTGGTGTGTAACAGCAGGCCATTTAATGAAGTGCACTTCTCAGTTAAAGTTTTTTTTTTTTTTTTTTAAATGAATCGTGCGGTTAACAGTATTGATTATGTGACGTCTAGCTTTAGTAGTGGATGAATCTGTGGATTTAAAGCTGACGAAAAACCAGCACAATTCATATTTGCATAAAAAAACTATGAACTGAATAAGCCAAACTGCTGTGTATTTTAATACAGACATGTGAATTAGTAGCTTGTGTACGGTAGTCTGAACATGTGAATAGGGTATTGGATTTTCTCAATAAAATTATGGACATTGCTAAGTCAATTTGCATAGATCACATTATTTATACAGTTGTTTTATATTCAGAAATGTGCCTTCCTGCAGCTTCCTGATGGAAGAGGAAACATTGGACAGGTAACCACAATACAGGGTATGAGTACCAACCCCTATTGCAGGAGCACACAAATCCATCCTGACTGACATACTCCAGTGTTTGTTTACGTCATCCTTTTCTATTTATGGTCACATGTGATTCAAGCTGCTGAAACGTAGTCAGATGTATTAAAAAAAAAAAAAACCTTTCTCAAAAATCTTTTGGCTGACACTATTGAAACCATTATTTTAGGCATTTCAAATGGAGCTTTAAGCACCTGTTGTGGTGTGTCAGTTTCTGTTTTCAGTCGTTCTGGTGGCAGATTGCTGGGTGAATTTGGCTCATTTTCCTTCCGCTTACTGTAAAGCACTCAGCTAAATACAGAGAGGAAATAAAAAGTATTCTGGGATGTATAAGGTGCTTTATTTTATCTCAATGATACTGTTACAATGACAAATGAAGAGCAGAAGACAATTCCCCTTGAGACTAAAAAGATGCTTTAAGCCAGCAGTGCAGTTCTGAATACGGTTTTATTAGCAATCACACAGGACACGTCCCCCCAAACTCTTAAAGAGAGCCAAGAATACATATAAGAGGGAGGAACTGAAAAGGTGCCCGTATTTATCCCACCACAACCGTGTCTTCATCGGGGTACTCGTAGTATGGAACCTCCAGGTTCAGGGGGGCTGGGCCCTTCCTTATTCTTCCGGAGGCGTCGTAGTGGGAGCCGTGGCAGGGGCAGTAGTAACCCCCGAAGTCTCCGGCATTAGCGATGGGCACGCAACCCAAATGGGTGCACACTCCCAGAACAATGACCCACTTGGGGTTGAGCACTCTATCCTTGTCGTGCTGGGGGTCGCGAAGCTCTCCGATATTCACAGACGCCTCTGCTGCGATCTCCTTCTCTGTGCGGTGACGGACGAATAGGGGCTTCCCTCTCCACTTGAAGGTCATGTTTTTGCCTTCTGGGATGTCGCCGAGCTTGATCTCAATCTTGGATAAGGCCAGGACGTCAGCCGACGCACTCATGGAGGAGACGAACTGGGTGACCACCGTCTTGGCTGCATAGACGCCGACTACAGTGGTGGCTCCGGTCACCAGGTAAGAGAAGACCCTCCTGTTCTCACTGCTCTCCTGGGAGGATTTGTGGGGGTCCAAAACTTCGGGCCGGCGGTAATCTGAGAAATCGGGGATTTTGATGTCTGTGTGGGCAAGACGGGTTCCTGCTGGAGCTGAAAAGACATAACACCCTCTTAAGACACTGCTGTAAATAGATCATGCAGGTGGAATGCTGCATGTAGAGGAGACGCTACACAACGGAACACACAGTTCTGTGTATCGGCTTATTGATAAGTTATTGCAAAATGTCTATGATATTAAACTAACAAGAACATCCTGAAATGATTATCTTTATTACAATTTTGGGGATTGTGAGCCTTCCTCAAAAGTAAAAAAAAAAAATACTGTGAAATTTACAAAATGTTCTTTGAAACTATAAATTCCAGACTGATACCTAATTTCTTTGTGGATTTGAAAACTAAATAAAATAAAATTGTGTCATTTACAAAAGCAGCAAGTTGTTGACATTAAATTGTGTTAGTTTGTTGTTGTTTTGTAGTAATAAAAGGGATATTGAGTAATAATTAATATTGCAATTCTGAACATTTTCTCTTTTGATTATAAAAATAACCTTCTTCTCTGACCTGTGAAGGAGTTTCTCCTGTACCGACATGCCAACGCTTTCCTTTACATAAGGACAGTTACATAGTGCACCTTTTGAATTTTCCCCACCCCGTTTACGGTAAATGTGTCCCATGAGTAATATACTTTTTCCTAAATCTGCTGTGCAGTGACGTATGGTACTGTTTATTGAACAGTTTCTCATCGAGCTTCTGCTTTGGGACATTGTTTACCTTCTCTGACAGGTCACCGATTTGACTTACGAAAGCACAGACTTCCTCAGACATTCTAAACCGTTATGGATATGGGTTAGTTTATAAATAATGCGTAGCCTTAAATTAAATAAACACCAGGTCTGCTCGTTTAACAACTTTGTAACATTAAACATTTGCTAATTGGACAGGGTGTCCAGGTTAAAAGTTACATCACGCAGCTACATAGCAATCACGGCTAACAGTGTTCACGTCCACTGTTCGGCCTTACCAGCAGCGGGAAACAGCTCCGCGGCTCCGGGGAACACCAGGCTTTTAACTGTGTGCTTCGTTGCTTGGTAGTATGGGGAAAGAACCCCGTGCCGAACGACAGCAGACATCATTTTTGCCCCTATAAATGTATCAACCCCGCAGATGGGGACACGACCTTCCGTGTACAATCCTTAAGCGCACTACTCTAACCTGCCCCACGAGCAACTCCCCCCAATTTTATACCGTTCCTGTTACGTGAGCTGGTCTGACCACAGTGCCCTGTGTTTTGCCTCCATAAATAAATGTATTTGTTATACAAAGTAACAGATATTACAACAAATAATAATTTCTCTTAAATATGAAAGCAAATGTTTTCTCAAAAGTAAAATAAATAAAAACATTTAAATAAAAACAGGCGCCATTCTAAGTAACCTACATCCAGGGTCCTTGTGGTGTAAACAAGGGTCCTCGTAAAAAAGGGGGAAGAGACACACAATGGTAACCTAAGATAAAAGAAGAAAAATGAAAATACCCAAAAGAAAGCTATTTCTTCTCATTATTTTTGCGTATGTGGCATTTTCACTGTACGCTGCATATAATGTTTTCTTCAGCAACAAAGTCATCTCCCGCGTTCACAGGGTGGTTAAAAAGGAAACCGGGGCACCATCTGGTAATTATACCGATCAGAAATGCTTTACAATCTACTTTTCCAGCCATCCTACAACACATGGACTAACACATATTTTGTGTTTGTTGGTGCTTTTTGTCAAAAAATGAAGGGATTTACTAATTAACATCGTGGAAACTGCTGTGTGTTTGCAGGCGGTGTCAGAGGTGGGGGCGCTCCGTTTCTAGCAGATGAGTGGAATCCGTGGGAAGATGAGGAGGTGGAGTACAACTCTGCTCTGAACAAAAAGAGGGAGGCCTTCAAAAAGTACATGGATACAATTAATAAGAATAAACCCAAAAGATACAAGGTCCAAATCTGGGGGAAAGCTGCCATAGGTAAGTCAGGTTATGGTGACTAATATCTGTCCTTACATCTTTTTTCATCCTTGCTGTCATCTCAAAACGAGACATCTAACTTAACATAAAACTTTAAATGTTTTCTTTGCATTATTAATATTTTTATTATAGGATTATTTGCACATATTAATAGTAAAACAACAGTTTCTGAGACAAATAAACAAATACATGTTGTACAGATATAGTTAGGTAGCATTCGATTATTAAATATCATTATTGATAATGAATCGGTTCAATATGTTTTTTACTTATTGCCATTTTCCAACTTCTTATAATCATGCAAACATTTTTATATTTGGAATTTGTTTGACCATAATAATAGTTTTTAGTTTTGAAAATGTGAATTGTTTGTAGTCTCAAAGTAGGGAAAAAGGACATTTTAGAAAGTCTTGCTTTGTGAGGAAGCTGCATGTAAACAAAATCATTACTTATTCTCCTCAGGCCTTTATCTTTGGGAGCATATTTTAGAGGGACCCCTGAACCCAACAGACAAAGCAGCACAATGGAGAGAAGGGGAGCTGGAGTCGGGAAAGATTGATTTCAGGTAAAAATAAAAAATAAAAATAAAAAAGAGTGAATTTGTAGTGTTATAACTGACAAAAACAGACAGTGAGACTCAGTTAGCCTTTCTCTTTTCTTCTGTCCATAGTTTCTACACTGGCCCCGCTGTGGTCCAGGGTCATGTCCCTCTTGAAATGAACAGCCTGGTTCTTGTTCTCAATGGCCGCGAGCAGCAGAAGGTCTCGTACTCAACACGGTGGCTGGAGCATGTCCAGTCTCTGGTTCAGTCCCACACAGTGTCTCACGTGGCTGTGGTCCTGCTGGGGAATGAGCAATGCAGAAATGACTGGATCGCTGCACACTTAAAGAGAAACGGTGGCTTTATAGATCTTCTCTTCCTGGTTTACGACAGCCCTTGGGTTAACGACAAGGACGTCTTCCAGTGGCCTCTTGGTGTTGCCACGTATGTCTTTTTTCATCAGCATGCTTAGTGCTCCCAAAAACAACTGTGGAGGCTGTCTTTAACTGAAAAATACTTCCTGAAACCCTCCTATGTTTTTTTTTTGTGTGTCTGTGCAGATATAGACAATTTCCTTTGATCAGGCCTAACACAGAGTTGATCACATCCATCCGGCCACACCTGTGCAATTTCTTGGGGACTGTTTACAAAAATTCCTCCCGGGAAACGCTGATGCAGGTGCTGAAACAGTCGGGCTTCGATAAGGAATGCATCACCGCCGGCAGGGACAAGTAAGTCTTTGCTTCTTGATGAGTGGAAACTTGGGTAATCTGAAACAAGCAAAGCACTACTTCTTGATATTTATAGCCCCAAAATTAATATTTTAGGTCAAGCTTTAATTTAGCCTTTATACAATGTGTAATGTTAGCACAGTGAAGGACTTTTTTCACTGTCCCTCAGAGGTTCTCTTTAGCTTTGGAATTGCTTTGTGTTTGTTTTTAATACTCTATTAGGGCCTGTAGATTTGTGTACATGTCATCTGTGTCCAAAGATTTCTTTTGGATTCTCTGAATCGTAAACTGACAAATTGCCCAAATATCTCAGTTTTAGGAGTTGTTTTTGATCCCGTTTGCCCAGGATGAAATCATCCTCTGTGGGGTGTCCATCTCATGTATAATAAAGTTACTAACATTTTCACAATATTACAAGTAGCCCTCAGCTATACTGTATAATTTAGGATAAGTTTATCTTTAATAAGAAGATGACACATATCACAAATTTTTATTCTAAGAGCATTATTTACTACTTGATGAGAAATATTTTATCACTCCTGAGTATTTAATCCATGATTTCTTTGTGTTTAAATGTTCTACAACCTGATATATATTGAACAATAAAAAATCCGACAGGTGAGGCTACTTTGACTCACCTTGAAGGCCCAACCCCAGACAAAAGTTTGCATATCAATGACGCTGGCTTTTCATGAGGCTAGATTGAAGTGTTCTTTCCTCTCTCCTTGCCTCAGGTGGCTCCCTCAGGAAACGAGTGACAGTTTAAAACGCTATCAAACCGCTCTGGCCCAAAGCGAGCTCACTCTCAGCCCCGTCGGGGTGAACACTGAGTGCTATCGCATCTATGAGGCCTGCTCGTACGGCTCGGTGCCCGTGGTGGAGGACGTGCTGACACCTGGGAGCTGCGCGGCGGGGCCCAGCTCCCCACTCCGTCTCCTAAAAGCTGCGGGAGCACCCTTCATCTTCATCAGCGACTGGAGGGAACTGCCAGCTATCCTGGAGAGGGAGAGAAGGATGAGCCAGGAGCAGAGGGTGGACAGGAGGAGGCGGCTGCTGGAGTGGTACTCTGGCTTCCGACAGCAGATGAAGGACCGGTTCACTGAGGTCATCGAGGAGAAATTCTTCAAAAACGGATAACTGGTGCTTTTAAGAATGAAGACGGTTACCATTTCATCTTGATTTAATTTATTTAGTGGTCTATGGGAAAATGTGGCGTACTACTGGCATAGTGACCCTGGTGATGTTCAGTGAATTTCTTTCTGGTGCAGGTTATTATAAAACCATTGGTGTTGTGGTCAGGTTATAAAGCTGCCATTACTAGTATGTAACACTACTGTATGTTTTTCATTGAAACGTTTAAACAGTGGAATGCACAGGCATGAAAACTTTACATTTTGAATCCCATAATGATATGTTTTGTACCTCTGATTATCTGCACTTTTGATTTTTTTTTTTAAACGTTAAACATGTAACTGAAAGTAAGAAAGCGTGTTTTTAGACTATTTGGAAATGCTACATTAAGTGAAAGGATTTTGTATTTTGAGCAGCTGAATATTGTCGGTGTGACGTGTCCTGCATTGCTGCCTAAAACTGACTACAACTACAGGTTGCGTTCTACTTATTGCAGTGTTGTCCTGCATGCACTTTTTAAAAACCGTGCAATAAAGTGAACGGAGTATTGTCTGGAAGAGGACATGTTAATACTGTGCTGCTGTTCTTCCTGCAGATGGCGCTGTGGAACAGTTCAGGCTCAGAGGATGCTGGGATCTCAGCTGAACAGAGACAATAGTTAAGAAAACTTTGAACTGAAGACTTAACCAAATGAGACAAGATAATGCAAAATCATACTGAAAGCTTTAAAAGACAGTGTGTTTAAGCATAACTTGGAGCCCAAAGGGATCAGGGATGAGCACTATTAGCTTTCAGTTGGTACAGTGAAAGTCCAAGCAGGAATTTGGGTTTTCTGGGTGGATTTATGTCTTACAAAACTTTCAGAAGCCTTTTTAAGCATCTGTACTTATTTGTGTGATGCTTAACTTTTTTTATATGTAAAAAAAAAACGCCTGTGAGGTTTATTGGCCAAAGGCAAACATCTTCAGTGATTAATGTTCTTGCAATCAGATTATGAAACAATGTCTCCTCCACCAAGTTTCTCCAGGCCTTTGATGGTTTATTTAGTGTCTGTTGTGGTTATTTTTCCTGTTTGTCTGTTTGCTGATGAATCAGACCTCCTTTTTGTGTTGTCTGTCTCTCTGTGTGGCAATTTTTGCAGCTCTTAGTGGTAAGTGTGTCTCATCCTGAGCATTGTTTTTTTTCTCCCTAATATGTCTTAGAAACTGTCATGAACAGGTCGTGCATCGCTTTACACGTGTTTATTCTATTCGTGATGGATTTTTTGTTTTTGTTTTGTTCTTTGCATTCCTTTTTCATCATGATGACTTTGTCCATTTTGAGATGTCCACAGACTTTTCAGTCACGCGCACAGCCTGGGTAACTTGGCCAGATATCAGTGACTGTGCCCTTTCATGTCATGCACGCAATTGTTGGCAAACGATTTCAATTTAGCCATCTAATCGGGGCAAAATCCCACGAGGGAGCATGTCCACCGGTGTCCACTAGCCGTGTCGGAGCTGGTCCCTCCCTCTCCCCCTCCTTCCCCTCCCTCCCTCCCCGCCGTCCAGCTGCTGTTTGCGGGCGGCCAGCCCTGTCTGCCTCTGAGCGTGCGGAGAGTTCTGGGAGAGCGACCGTCGAGGGGGAGAGCTATAGCAAAGCAGGGGGGGTGGGTGGGGGTCAGTGTGTGCGTGTCCCAATCTGGAAACCCACTTCCACAGCACGGGCACTCACGACACAAGTCGACGTCCGCGGCGTTTGGAGGAGTTGCTGGCGGAGACCCCCAAACTTCGGCTGTTTTTCTTCTTCGGTTTCTTCTTCTTCTTGTTCTTGTTCTTCTTCTGCTTCTTCTTCTGTGGTGGCAGCAGCAGCGGTGCTGTTGCTCCGAGCCGACCGCTCAGATAGTTGAGGAGACTCACTGGAGGGAGCAGGATTTGCGCAGTGTATCCACCTTGTTATCCAGAGGGAACGGGAACAATGAAGTAGTAAACGCTTCCCCCCTTTGCTCAATTCTTGTTTCAGAGTTGAATTGCCCTTTTTTTTGTTGTCGCGCTTCTTCGTGTATCTGGCGGACATTTCTTCTGTTTTTTGGGGGGATGCGTCGGCTGCTGTAGGATCCCGCTTGTTGACAAACAGTTTTTTGCAAGAAGTTTACGGCGAGCCTCGGGCGCAGGAAGACGGAAAATGTCTACGGCGAGGTTCAAAAAGGATAAAGAGATCATCACGGAATACGAGAGCCAAGTCAAAGGTAAGCACGGAGTGTGGATATATGTTTGTGGGAACTGTTGGAAGCACCGGGGAGAGACGGAACCAGAACCGGGCTCGATCATCTCCACCTGGATATGAGTCATAGGCGGAGACGGTGGGGCGTTCGGTCCTCAGAAATTAAATTTAAAAAAGTTAACGGGGAATAAAAAAAATTATGCGATGTGCAGATAATAAAGCTATCTGTCTTCAGCTATCATATGAAAGTTCCCTGCTTAATTAGCCAAATAATGGACAGTTAATTGAATTTGGCGGGGCGGGGGATTTATTTTTTAAGCCAGTGAAAGCGCTCGCCAGGTTTCTCAAAGCTCCAAAGAAGAGATTTAACCCAGTCTGCTAAACGCTTACATCAGATGATCACGCGTGATACGTTTGATGAAATAACCTGGTTTTGTGTCTGTGTTGTTTTGTGGATCAACCTGTTAACTGTTAGTCTGTTTATTGTCAGAGCTGTCCTCGTTACTTCACAGCTGATACAAGTCTTTGGTTATGGGATGGTCATCACAGCAGGGTTATGTAAGGGGAACAGCCAACAGATTCTGGCTCCCCACATGCATTTCAACTCCACGTGTTGCTCACTGGCACTTAGGAAGGACCTGATGGCTCGTGCATGGGTCCTTTTCCAGCATTCTGTGGCCTGTCTGCATCCTGCTAGAAGTGGCCCACTTTACAGCCTCAAGCTGCTGCCGGCTCTGATTTAGGGAGGTGATTTAGGTGTGCAAGACACCGCAATGATGCCGCCCTAACTTATCTCCCTCAAGTCCCCTGTGCATGCAAGAGCAGAGGTGGCTGGTAACAGGCACACACACGCACACACACACACAGCGGAAAGAGGCTGTTGCTGCTCCAAAGTAACCATGGGGATTTGGCCCCCGGCCAACCAGCTCTACTCTCCAGTGCCCTTAGCATGCTCAAATACCACCTATTCACATCCATGTTTCAAACCTTAAAGGCTGTTAAAGAGGGGAGGTTAGCAGAGGTCGGGGTGGAAGAAGGGGGGGGTTCTTTCTTTTCCCTGTGAGCATGACTCAGGGTTTTCAACCTGTTATACGTGATGATGCTCCATCATGGGGGACGCTGAACCAGACGTGAAGCAGCCTCCAATTTGTCACGCAGAGCCCAACAGGGCGATAACAAACCACACGAGGCCGAGAAAAATTGCCGTCGGACCGGTGTCTTTTGTTGAATATGCAGAATTCAGCTGCAGGAGGGAGTTCGCATCACAGGGACTTCCCTAGCTGTGCTTCTCACGAACTGCAAATATCCTACAGGTGTTTTAACCGATAGCTACTACGGTGTACATTTAGGCTGAAATTATTTTGAAGAAAGTACCAGAAGTCTGCATTTTATGTGTGCTTGAACACAGAAACGAGGATTGATCTCCAGTTCTTTTTAGTTTTAACACCAAATTCAAACCCAGTTTGTTTTTGGAAGCTTAGCTTCCATGCTCATTAGAAGAAGAAAAAAATGACACACAGGGAATTATGTGCATGCAGCTCCTGTTATCGGCATTCTGAAGCATTTTATGAGTGGAGTTTGTGGCGATAATGCGTGGGATCACATCTGCAGTGGACCTGTGACAGCCCGAGGCAGATTCTGGTGAGCAGACACTGATTACTCAAGAAGTTCAACAGCGAGCAGCCTGGGAGCCAGCCGGAGCTGGCGTTTGATCTTCTGGCCCGCATTCGCCTCGTCTCACAGCTCCAGAGTTGGTCTCATTTTCACGACGCTTCGACTAATTTTTGGCAGCCAGTCTGGCTGCGTCTTACGTAACCGTGCTCCTCTGCAGTCGGGAGCCTTCAGTCTTGATTTTGACAGCTGCTGCGTGCACGCTTTACACCAACAGTTTTGTACATTTGTCATGAGAATCATCGCTTTTCAATCCAGCAACATCAGTGATTGCAATCCAAGTCAGGAGATGTGAAGTACTTAATCCGGTTTCCGATGGTGACTGACTGTCTGAAAGCTTTTCCACCAGGGCTGACACCACTGTTCTCTGGCTTGCATGTCATTCAGCTGACATTCACTTCTAAAACGCTCTCTCTCTTTTTTCTCAGAGGAAAATGATGAAGGCCATCATAGCGGTCTGCGAAGTAAAGCATTAATTTAGTTCTAAAGTTGGAGGTCTGTCTATTTTGGGAAACGAGTCGTTAAGAGGATCGGTCTGAAACTGTGGAATTTGTTGGTACTCTCTTGTGGACACCAGTCGCAGTTAATTAAAGACGTTTTAAAGCGGCGAGCTGAAGGTCACGGGTGCAGTGGAATCCTCCGTGAGACAACAGCAACCCCGCTGTGCGCGGGAGTCTGCGTGCGTTTTCCGTCGTGAATGTTCTGTTTGTGGACCGGGAAGCCGTGGCTCAGACAGCAGGATGTCCAGAGCCCCTGACAGGCGTCCGCTCCTGGATCATTATAAAGGCTGCCCTTTGACCTCCCTTCATTACTGTCTGAAATCAGAGCCATGCCCCCTCAGCATACTCAAAGAGAACAATGTTTTCATGTTTGGGGGGGGGGTGGTTGGGGGTTCAAGCAAAAAACTTCTCTGAGGTGTTATAGTCTGTGCTTTGGGATTTAATTTATTCATCACATTCAATGTATTTGCATTTAGTTATTCAAATGGTTAATTACCTGACAGAAAATAATCTATACCTGGATTTTTATCCATTTATTCATCAAGAAATATGTCTTTAGTGTGTGTTTTCTTTATGCATATGTTACCAGACTGTGGTGTAAGGATGGAAGCTCTGGTTTGAAACTGCCTTTTTTATGTAGAAAGTTCTTCAGTGTGGTTTTTGCCTCAAAAGAAGAGTTTGCATTGTAAACTATTTAATAGGATTCGAGCCCGACTCCACACTTTGTTTGGCCAACATCATCATTGAAATGCAGTTATTAAAGTCACCTGAATGATATTTTTGTCAGATCACGCTGCGGAATGGAAATGCTTCAGGCAGCCACAGGCTGACTCAAAGTCTTAAAGGGCTTATTTTTAGTCATAATATCTGACACTTTTATCCATCTGACAAAAGAAACAGGAAGTGATGCGAGCGGGAGCAGCTTTATGAGGACGTGGGCTGTGTTAATGTACGTTCGTGCTCTACGAGGGTAACGAGCAGATGCAGAAATATGTTGTGTGTCGGACCGTCTGACTTGATCCCCAAATACATAGTCTGGGTGTGGGTTTGATTTAGAGATCTTTGATCTTATGCAGGTTTCAGTCAAACTATTAAGTTTTATCCATGAGAATGAAGTGCTTTGTTTCGTTATAAAATCCTGCATCTGCCAGGGGTGGAGAGCAGGTCTTCAGGTGGGTCAGTGCAGTCAGAGCAAAGACAAGAAACGAGAAGATAGTGAAAGAGAAGTATTGTTAGTTTGTTGTGAGAGGAGGCAAAGCACAGCAGCATGCAGACTAAATAAAATTAAAAATGCACATACCCTCTTCAGAATGTCGAGACCTGCCATGTGTCCTTGATCCTCTTCATTGTATTTTTATTAACCCCACTTTGCATACGAGAGCATGAAATTATTACATGAGGTTTATTTTTCTTTAGATATTATCCTCAATTATGTGGCTTTTGTTTTTAGTTTTCTATTCCTTTCAATGAATTGACAGTGAACCTAACATTTTAGTTAAAAAAGGCTATTTCAAGTCCTGTGACTCATCGATTTAAAAGAAGGATGTTTTTTGTGTTGGGGAAAGACAGTTGGTCATAAGCTCAGACGAATGAGGTTCCTCTGAAGCCGGCTGTCACATTAATGTCGTTCTCATGACGAGAAACTGTCCCGTTCACACTCTGTAAGAGTCCTGTGTTCGCCACAACCCCTCAAAAAAGCAACTCCTCTCTACACGTCTTTGCCGTGTCTCTCTGACCTCGCGTCTTTAATCTTTAATATTTTGTTCTAGTAGCACAGGTGAATATTTTTGGCTTCGCGGCGAGTTTTTGTTCTCTCAATCTGCAGATTGCAGTTATTTCTCCAGAGTGGAAACCGGTGGAGGTGGGACTCCTGGCATTCTAGCCTCTCGGAGGCGTTGATGGAGGTTAGAGCTTGAAAGACTAATGGAATTCTAACACCTTCTGGAGCACAGCCTCACGTCCATTCACACACTCACCATCTGTTTGTGCGGCCCACTCCTTTTTAGAGCTGTTTGTGAGTCTGTGCTTGGGCTTCCATGCGCAGGGCGTGGCGTTTATCTGTGAGTGTGCCTTTGCATGGCCCGGTGAATGGTTATTGACGGCACCATCTGTGGCCGCTCACCCTTTTTTTATCCAGTTTTAATAAACTGTGCTGAGCAGAAGCGAGGCTCAAAGTTCCCTGCCGTGCTTTTCATTGCAGCCACAAAGGCCAAAAGGACATTTCTGCAGCCCCTTCGATTCGCGTACCCGTGTCCCTCCATCTTCAAAATCCAACAAACAAGAAGTCTGGTGCGTTGTCTCCAGCTGTTCGCAGCACCGCTTTTTCAATTTTCCCACAAAAAGGATCACATTCCTGCCCGGTTGTCGCACTTGCCACCTTCCGCTGCTCTTTTCTCCTCACTCTGAGGCACAGGGAAGCATCTCTGCTGGGTGCCTGTTAATGAGCTGGATGAGATTTTCTGCATTAGCCAAAAGAAGGCTCAGGGTGTAAATAGAATTGAACCATGCTTAAGGAAAGTAATATACGGAATTAAATCTGAAGGGGCAAGAGTGACACAAGATGGAGGTTGGGCAAGGGATTTGGGAAGGTTTTTGGACTACTTTTGAGAGAGTTTTCAGTCTTTTGAACCACCGCTGTGGCCCAGATGGGCAGACAGGAGGGCAGACAGGCGCAGACTGACCATCAGGCCATGCTGCTGTGTGCCTCCCAGCAGGACTGGATTAGGAGGAGGGAGAGAGTGGGGGATGGGAGGGGATGGCTGGAGGTCAGTCACGGAACAAGTGAAGATGGGAGGTCATACGCTCCACTAGGGTCGACTTTTGCTCGATTTAAAACGTTCGCTTGGTTTGGGGA